GTTCTATATGTAGTTACTGTTTTAGAGTCTACACTATCTGTACTAGTAAGTTCTATATGTAGTTACTGTTTTAGAGTCTACACTATCTGTATTAGTAAGTACTACATTGAGTTACTGTTTTAGGGTCTATACTATCTGTACTAGTAAGTACTACATTGAGTTACTGTTTTAGAGTCTACACTATCTGTATTAGTAAGTACTACATTGAGTTACTGTTTTAGAGTCTACACTATCTGTACTAGTAAGTACTACATTGAGTTACTGTTTTAGGGTCTATACTATCTGTACTAGTAAGTTCTATATGTAGTTACTGTTTTAGAGTCTACACTATCTGTATTAGTAAGTACTACATTGAGTTACTGTTTTAGAGTCTACACTATCTGTACTAGTAAGTACTACATTGAGTTACTGTTTTAGAGTCTACACTATCTGTACTACTAAGTTCTATATGTAGTTACTGTTTTAGGGTCTATACTATCTGTATTAGTAAGTACTATATGTATTTACTGTTTTAGAGTCTACACTATCTGTACAAGTAAGTTCTACATTGAGTTACTGTTTTAGAGTCTACACTATCTGTACTAGTAAGTACTACATTGAGTTACTGTTTTAGAGTCTACACTATCTGTACCAGTAAGTACTATATGTATTTACTGTTTTAGAGTCTACACTATCTGTACTAGTAAGTACTATATGTAGTTACTGTTTTAGAGTCTACACTATCTGTACTAGTAAGTACTATATGTAGTTACTGTTTTAGAGTCTACACTATCTGTACTAGTAAGTACTACATTGAGTTACTGTTTTAGAGTCTACACTATCTGTACTAGCAAGTACTATATGTAGTTACTGTTTTAGAGTCTACACTATCTGTACTAGTAAGTACTAGAGTCTACACTATCTGTATTAGTAAGTACTACATTGAGTTACTGTTTTAGAGTCTACACTATCTGTATTAGTAAGTACTACATTGAGTTACTGTTTTAGAGTCTACACTATCTGTATTAGTAAGTACTACATTGAGTTACTGTTTTAGAGTCTACACTATCTGTACTACTAAGTTCTATATGTATTTACTGTTTTAGAGTCTACACTATCTGTACAAGTAAGTTCTACATTGAGTTACTGCTTTAGAGTCTATACTATCTGTACTAGTAAGTACTACATTGAGTTACTGTTTTAGAGTCTACACTATCTGTATTAGTAAGTACTATATTGAGTTACTGTTTTAGAGTCTACACTATCTGTACTAGTAAGTACTAGAGTCTACACTATCTGTATTAGTAAGTACTACATTGAGTTACTGTTTTAGAGTCTACACTATCTGTATTAGTAAGTACTATATGTAGTTACTGTTTTAGAGTCTACACTATCTGTACTAGTAAGTACTAGAGTCTACACTATCTGTATTAATAAGTACTACATTGAGTTACTGTTTTAGAGTCTACACTATCTGTACTACTAAGTTCTATATTGAGTTACTGTTTTAGGGTCTATACTATCTGTACTAGTAAGTACTATATGTAGTTACTGTTTTAGAGTCTATACTATCTGTATTAGTAAGTACTACATTGAGTTACTGTTTTAGAGTCTATACTATTTGTACTAGTAAGTACTATATTGAGTTACTGTTTTAGAGTCTACACTATCTGTACAAGTAAGTTCTACATTGAGTTACTGTTTTAGAGTCTACACTATCTGTATTAGTAAGTACTACATTGAGTTACTGTTTTAGAGTCTACACTATCTGTACTAGTAAGTTCTATATTGAGTTACTGTTTTAGAGTCTACACTATCTGTACTAGTAAGTACTATATTGAGTTACTGTTTTAGAGTCTATACTATCTGTATTAGTAAGTACTACATTGAGTTACTGTTTTAGAGTCTACACTATCTGTACTAGTAAGTTCTATATTGAGTTACTGTTTTAGAGTCTACACTATCTGTACTAGTAAGTACTATATTGAGTTACTGTTTTAGAGTCTACACTATCTGTACTAGTAAGTACTATATTGAGTTACTGTTTTAGAGTCTACACTATCTGTACTAGTAAGTACTACATTGAATTACTGTTTTAGAGTCTACACTATCTGTACTAGTAAGTTCTATATTGAGTTACTGTTTTAGAGTCTACACTATCTGTACTAGTAAGTACTATATTGAGTTACTGTTTTAGAGTCTACACTATCTGTACTAGTAAGTACTATATTGAGTTACTGTTTTAGAGTCTACACTATCTGTACTAGTAAGTACTACATTGAGTTACTGTTTTAGAGTCTATACTATTTGTATAAGTAAGTACTATATTGAGTTACTGTTTTAGAGTCTACACTATCTGTACTAGTAAGTACTATATGTAGTTACTGTTTTAGAGTCTACACTATCTGTACTAGTAAGTACTACATTGAGTTACTGTTTTAGAGTCTACACTATCTGTATTAGTAAGTACTACATTGAGTTACTGTTTTAGAGTCTACACTATCTGTACTAGTAAGTACTATATTGAGTTACTGTTTTAGAGTCTACACTATCTGTACTAGTAAGTACTACATTGAGTTACTGTTTTAGAGTCTACACTATCTGTACTAGTAAGTACTATATTTAGTTACTGTTTTAGAGTCTTAGTAAGTACTATATGTAGTTACTGTTTTAGAGTCTACACTATCTGTACTAGTAAGTACTACATTGAGTTACTGTTTTAGAGTCTACACTATCTGTACTAGCAAGTACTATATGTAGTTACTGTTTTAGAGTCTACACTATCTGTACTAGTAAGTACTAGAGTCTACACTATCTGTATTAGTAAGTACTACATTGAGTTACTGTTTTAGAGTCTACACTATCTGTATTAGTAAGTACTACATTGAGTTACTGTTTTAGAGTCTACACTATCTGTATTAGTAAGTACTACATTGAGTTACTGTTTTAGAGTCTACACTATCTGTACTACTAAGTTCTATATGTAGTTACTGTTTTAGGGTCTATACTATCTGTACTAATAAGTACTATATGTATTTACTGTTTTAGAGTCTACACTATCTGTACAAGTAAGTTCTACATTGAGTTACTGCTTTAGAGTCTATACTATCTGTACTAGTAAGTACTACATTGAGTTACTGTTTTAGAGTCTACACTATCTGTATTAGTAAGTACTATATTGAGTTACTGTTTTAGAGTCTACACTATCTGTACTAGTAAGTACTAGAGTCTACACTATCTGTATTAGTAAGTACTACATTGAGTTACTGTTTTAGAGTCTACACTATCTGTATTAGTAAGTACTATATGTAGTTACTGTTTTAGAGTCTACACTATCTGTACTAGTAAGTACTAGAGTCTACACTATCTGTATTAATAAGTACTACATTGAGTTACTGTTTTAGAGTCTACACTATCTGTATTAGTAAGTACTACATTGAGTTACTGTTTTAGAGTCTACACTATCTGTACTACTAAGTTCTATATTGAGTTACTGTTTTAGGGTCTATACTATCTGTACTAGTAAGTACTATATGTAGTTACTGTTTTAGAGTCTATACTATCTGTATTAGTAAGTACTACATTGAGTTACTGTTTTAGAGTCTATACTATTTGTACTAGTAAGTACTATATTGAGTTACTGTTTTAGAGTCTACACTATCTGTACAAGTAAGTTCTACATTGAGTTACTGTTTTAGAGTCTACACTATCTGTATTAGTAAGTACTACATTGAGTTACTGTTTTAGAGTCTACACTATCTGTACTAGTAAGTTCTATATTGAGTTACTGTTTTAGAGTCTACACTATCTGTACTAGTAAGTACTATATTGAGTTACTGTTTTAGAGTCTATACTATCTGTATTAGTAAGTACTACATTGAGTTACTGTTTTAGAGTCTACACTATCTGTACTAGTAAGTTCTATATTGAGTTACTGTTTTAGAGTCTACACTATCTGTACTAGTAAGTACTATATTGAGTTACTGTTTTAGAGTCTACACTATCTGTACTAGTAAGTACTATATTGAGTTACTGTTTTAGAGTCTACACTATCTGTACTAGTAAGTACTACATTGAATTACTGTTTTAGAGTCTACACTATCTGTACTAGTAAGTTCTATATTGAGTTACTGTTTTAGAGTCTACACTATCTGTACTAGTAAGTACTATATTGAGTTACTGTTTTAGAGTCTACACTATCTGTACTAGTAAGTACTATATTGAGTTACTGTTTTAGAGTCTACACTATCTGTACTAGTAAGTACTACATTGAGTTACTGTTTTAGAGTCTATACTATTTGTATAAGTAAGTACTATATTGAGTTACTGTTTTAGAGTCTACACTATCTGTACTAGTAAGTACTATATGTAGTTACTGTTTTAGAGTCTACACTATCTGTACTAGTAAGTACTACATTGAGTTACTGTTTTAGAGTCTACACTATCTGTATTAGTAAGTACTACATTGAGTTACTGTTTTAGAGTCTACACTATCTGTACTAGTAAGTACTATATTGAGTTACTGTTTTAGAGTCTACACTATCTGTACTAGTAAGTACTACATTGAGTTACTGTTTTAGAGTCTACACTATCTGTACTAGTAAGTACTATATTTAGTTACTGTTTTAGAGTCTGCACTATCTGTACCAGTAAGTACTATATTTAGTTACTGTTTTAGAGTCTACACTATCTGTACTAGTAAGTACTATATTTAGTTACTGTTTTAGAGTCTACACTATCTGTACTAGTAAGTACTACATTGAGTTACTGTTTTAGAGTCTACACTATCTGTATTAGTAAGTACTACATTGAGTTACTGTTTTAGAGTCTACACTATCTGTACTAGTAAGTACTATATTTAGTTACTGTTTTAGAGTCTACACTATCTGTACTAGTAAGTACTACATTGAGTTACTGTTTTAGAGTCTACACTATCTGTACTAGTAAGTACTACATTGAGTTACTGTTTTAGAGTCTACACTATCTGTATTAGTAAGTACTACATTGAGTTACTGTTTTAGAGTCTATACTCTCTGGTCCCTGTTCCTCGACTGATTCCTGTCCATTTGGTGCTGTTTGTGAGGAGGGAATCTGCTCGTGTAACGAAACATACCTAAACTACAAAGACGTCTGCCACAAAGGTTAGAAATATGTCTCAGTTCATAACTGGACAACGAGATATGTACAATTTTTGTTAACAGAAATTACTTATAATTAACATTTCATAAAGATGTTTTAAGGAGGCTGGGTGGTCAATATATTACCGAACAATTCCACCTAAAAAAAATTCAAATAGGCATTTTTGTTTTCTATTCACAAACTATATATTATTTATATTAAAAAAAGTGTTTCAGCTACAATATTTAATGCAATTTCCCATATTTTTAAACGGATTTCTTCTTTACAGGAGGTTTGAATAGACGAAAAATGCCCATGATCACCCAACCTTCTTAAGAAATAAAAGTTACGTGTACTGAGATTTTTGATTCACAGAGAAATTTTCCTTTTTTCTATAGTAACAAATCTGGCGCTCGAAAAGACTGTTTCGGCTAGTTCTAGTTTATTTCCTGCAAATAATAAAAGATGGGAAAATGCTGTTGATGGACGCACACATGTGATGAATTTTAATCTGTTATTCCATACAGGTTATGAAATCTTCCCTTGGCTATCCATTAATCTAGGAACTGAATTATGTGTCGTCAAAAGTATTATTTTATTTAACAGGATCGACAATCACGGTAGGTTACCAAATCAGTTGTGCACGTATAATAAAAAAAAACCCAATTAATTTAAACAATAAAATGCTGTCTTTGGTTGTAAGTGTGGGAACTAATGTTGCAGCTGTTGCAGAAAAATGCATAACCTGCGTAAGCCTAACATAAAAAAAACCATTTATATGATATTTAAAATTTTGCCACTGGATCATAAAATCAAACGATTGTTGTAGTTGTGAAATGTTGCATTGCTTGATACAAAAAAAGAAGACTTTTTTTTTATTGCATTTATAGAAAATTAATACTAAGGTGAAAATCTAGTAAATGAAAGGAACCTACAGATTTCTCAAATTTGAGAAATAAATTCCTCTAGTGATTAGAAATTCATTAACTCTCTCCATATCCCTACTTTAGGTAGATGGCTGCATGATGTTGAAGCCAGGGTAGGCAACTCCTCGAACTGGCCCCAGATGTCAACTTGTGGAACATTCATCGGACCCAGTAAAACTGGAGATGTTCACATCATTGAATGCGGGACACTCCTGTATGGAAAATGCGTCACAGTGAAAATTGTCAAACCGAACTATATAACAGACGATCGGGCAGCTAGAGGCGGGAAAAATGCTCTAGTTTTAGAGGAAGTTGTTGTTAATGGCATTGTATTGTAACTCATGACAGTGCATGCCAGCATTTTTTAGAAAAGAAAAATTTCCAAAGTTAAATGCCAAACTACCATTTCGTTTGTGTGTTAGTGTATGATTCTATTTGGGGTGGGTGGAGGTGGGAAGGGGGGATTTCACATTGTTTAAATCAAAGTATTAGCCTTTCATGCTTCCTGAATAAATGAATGTAAATGTGTAAATGAGTATCGTAAGAAATACAATAAAATCGATTTAACCGTGATATGCAGGTTCCCTTCGGCCTCGAGCTGATGCTGGATTCTCGGGTTGATATGGGATTCTCGGGTTGATATGGGATGTGATACAGATTTTGACATGTATTATTCTTAATGTATCATTACATGTGCAAATTGATTAAATTAAACGATATATTGCATGATATATACTTTCAGTTACTGCTACAGATTTTTAAAGCGTATAGCATTTTGTAAAAACTTTTTTGTAATTCCTAAAAATAAATAAAGTAATAACAATAATAATAATCTTTATTCTGAAATAGGCATTCTGCAATGTACAAGGACATTGAGGTGTGAGTATTATATACATATAAAACTTAATCAAATAGACATGATTTAAGAGATGAATTTAAAACGAATTAACTAATAAATCTTATTTTGCATATAAACCAAATAAATATATTATGTCGTATATATGCCTAAACCCAAGGATAGCCCATGAAAACCAGTATGGCTTATTTCCAATGGGGTCCTTTTACATGTAACAAAATTACTGGCATATGACATATATAATATACTTAATATAAACAATACATAATATACTTAATATAATCAAAATGGCTTAAAATTTCAGTCATACTTAATATGCAGAAGCATCTAAAATACAAGTTCTTAATTGTATAAGAAGAAAGAAAAGTTGGGTTATAAATATAATAGTATTAAAAGTCTTCCTTAGACATTTTCTTAAGTTTTTCCAAAAATGTTTTTGACCTTTTTTTTTAATTTTGATTTATTGGTAATTGTTTTAATCTGATCAGGTAGGGAATTCTAATCTTTAATTCCATTGTAAAAAAAAGTTTCACTTTCCATTTTTTGAACCCTTTGGCACAAAAAAAAAAAAAAAAAAAAAAAAAAAATTAGATTTACTTGACCTTGTACAATTTGAAGAAACATTTCGCTTAAAATTGCTGTACATATAATTTGGACCTTTATTATGAAATATATTGTAGACAAAGTTGAGGCGTAATTGACAAACTCTACTTCTGATATTCAAAAAACCCAATTTTTCAAATTCATTAACACTGACTCTTGATCTAGGTGAAACATCAAGAATAAATCTAATAATCTTGTTCTGTGCAACCTGAAGTCTATTTTTTTTTTCCAGATAGTCCTTCATACCAACAGGTGATAGCATAATCGATGTGACATTGAAATAAAACTTCTTGATTGCATTGACAAACATGAATTTTGCCAATATAAAAATTTAAGTCGTTGGTTTGTTTTACTAATAATAGTTTCTACAATTTTCTCACCAGATAGTAAGTTGTCAAAAAAAAAAAACAAAACAAAACAAAATAAAAAAAAAAAAAAAAAAAAAAAAAAAAACTCCTAATTATTTAACACAATTTTTAGATTTAATTTTGATTCCACCACATACTACTGAAAAGGTGTTCATATCATATGACTTCAATTTTCTAGGAGGTCCAAATAAAATACTCTCTTTCCCAAATGTAGAGAAAGTTTATTATCAACTAACCAGTGCTTACATTCCTCTAACATCTCAGATAGTTTTTTTTACTAATGACTTCTGGATTGGTATGTGAAAAAAGAATAGCTGTTTCAGATCATGTGACGGTACATATTGTCGTTTTGTACATATTGTCGTCGGCGACAATATGTACCTACTCTCACTGCACATATTGTCGTCTATCGGTACATATTGTCGCCGGCTGAAAAGTTAAACTTGTACATATTGTCACTAGCGACATTATGTGCCTCACCCTTACTGTACATATTGTCGCCCCACAGATATTGTTGCTTTAAGATTTCTGTGGTTTTGTGAATGTAATTGGTGTGTGTGAATCACACTGACGTGTCCCGTATGCTATTCCATGCAGCGTGACTGTGACGGTACATTTTGTCGTCCTGTTCATATTGTCGCCGGCGACAATATGTACCGATGGACGACAATATGTGCAGTGAGGGTAGGTACATATTGTCGCCGACGACAATATGTACAAAACGACAATATGTACCGTCACAGATCATCAGGCACAGTTTCTTCTGATATATTGATTAAGTATGTAATAAGTATTTTTATAATAGGGGCAGCATCTTTCAAAAATCTGGCAGGGATACCATCAAGTCCTGTGCTCTTTGAGGTTTTAATTTGACATAGCTCTTTGAAAACAAAACTCTCAGATACATATTTTAACACAAAAACTTTTCCTCTTTTCATAAAAATTTTTGACAGCTGTTGATACAGAATTATATACACCCTTGGGGGTAGGTAGTTGACTGAGTAGTTTAGCTGCTATTGTAGTGAAATAAGAATTAAAGCAGTTTGCGATTTTTTCATTTAAGAAATAAATAACAAGTTTAAAAACTTCAATGGGAATTGAAGTGGGTCGGTCACGTGATCAAATCCTGTGAAGGCCGAAGGCCTTCTCAGAAGATTTGATCACGTACCGACCCACTTCAATTCCCATTGAAGTTTTTAAACTTGTTATTTATTACTTATATATACATTTGAGACGGACAATCTAGTGTAATCGAATATAAATATTGCACCAACTGTGCGTCGTAGATTTTGACAAATTACGCTAGGTGTAAATCGGCTTGAAAAGCGGTTACGCTTCAAATTCATCTGGCAAAGGATTCTGTTTTGAAGGGTATATTCTGTGAAAGGCTACTTGTGATCAATTATAGTGAGCATATTGGTGTGTGGGAATTTTTGTATTCATGAGAACCCATATTCGATGTTAAAAAACATAAGAAACACGTCCGATGTTTGATAATAAAAAGTTGGAGGAATTTCGGTCGGAAAGGGATGGATGGAGACACTTGTCCTGACCAGATAACTTGAAATCAAGTAAAAAATTTGATCAAAAACATAAAACCTACGATTTCAGTAAGGCATATTTATTAATTTATGATGTTGACATGGAGACACTGGCGACAGCTTACATTGTTAAGACAGCGTCACAAAGATCTCGATGATGGAGGTGTGCCTACCGAACTTCCAAAGTGCAGTGTTTGTCAGCTGTTTGTGGCGTGATTGCATTACATTGATATTTTTCAACAGATTTTCAAATTTATTGTGAGTAAAGTTTAATGGAAAAAAAATTATAGCATTCAGAGGTCTGCGAGAAAAATAAGGGTAAACGTTGAGACTATGCAGCTCAGACATGAAACTTATAACACGTAGTTTTCTATTCTCTATGTAAAATCGATCAAGAACTGTATTAAATACTCGTTTACATTGTAAATAAAATGATTATTATTTTACTTGCGTATTTTGTACATTTTTATGCATGAAAAACATGCTATATTGCTTAGTGGAGTGTGTTTTTATGTAGATATTACTGCGCTGTGTGATTAGGTCACGTAATGACCTATGACCTTCGAAAAACTTCATACAGGTATGAAGATATTTGCTCTCTGCATGTTTATATAATAGAGAGATACCACAAATGTATATATTATCATAACAATTAATTTCTTCATCACTAGATAATGTGATATTGCCGTTTGTTTTGTTTGTTTGTTTTTTTATTATTTTGTTGATATCCCAGATTCTTTAAACAGGACCAAATTATCTTTGGGTTGTCTGTATTATCTTCTATCTTATCATTAAAATATTCTGTTTTGGCCTTATCACAAAGTCTTTGAACCAAATTTCTAGTTTTACAATAACTTTTATAATCATCTTGATTTTCAGATTTTCTAAAATTCAAAAGCTGTTGATTCCTTAATTGTATACTTTCCAAGATGTCACTTGTCATCCATGGCTCAATTTTTTGTTTTATTCTAACCTCTTTTATTGGAGCAACTTTTATTCATAAAAATTTCTCTTAAAGCACACCACATATCATTGACATTGCCAGCATAAAAACATATTTCTCAGTCTGCCTCAGTTAAAAGTCTGATAAAATCTCTTTATCATAATTTTTGGTTGACCTTATCTTAATAAAATTATGTTTCCCAAAAATGGGAAATAATGAAAAATAAATGCCAACACGTTTAGGTTATGGACAATAAATAATGAATAAGAACACCAGTTATGTATTATTAATCACATTTGAAGAAGAATAATCGAGCCACCCATATTTGATTTTTCTGACCCTGTACGTTTGCATTCATTAAGAGACATTTTTTTATATATTACGGTACTAAGCAATTATTATTTTTTTTTTTTTTGGCACGCATGATCAAGAATTTTTATCCTTGAAGCTTAAACAAATGATAAGTCGGTTGCTATGGATTTTTGCAATGGGTCTAAAATTCAAAAAAAAAAAAAAAAAAAACAACAAAAAACAAAAAACAAAACAAAACAAAAACAAAAAAAACATTATAAATCCTCATTCTGGAGGGACCTGGAATGTCAATAATCACACCTGTAGGAATGTTGACTTTTTACTAAGCTGGTAAAGAAACTAATGGGATTCCACATGAAATAGGGCGTAACTATATGCATGGTTACATTTGAACGAAATCTTGAAATTATTAAAAAAAAAAAATAACTCGTTTTTAGTCTTGTGCTGTTATTTTAGGAAGCAAACAAATCAAAAGACAGAAAAAAAATATATAAAGATGCCGTCGAGGAAGAGGGCTTTACGTCATGTTTTTGCACTGAATTATATGAATCATAACTTAGATTTTAAGTTTTTCTGAATATATTTGATGTAACTTGACATAATTAGAGATTGTTTCGTTGGTGTTGCCATAGAGGTAATATTTCAGTGATTCAGAGGAATCATACAGGGGCCCGTTTTACAAAAGAACCTATGACTAAATGTAAGACCGAAAACTTAAATTGATTGTAAAATTTTTACAAAATAAATTAATGATTTGTTTAAAATTGCTAGAGTAAAAATATTTTACTATATTCCTTTTAAAAGGATTAAAAACATTTTCAATATAATGTGAATTAAAAAGTTAAAAGCAGATTTAAATTCTGGTCTAAGTCGTAAGTTCTTTTACACAAGTTCCATGGCCTTAGGAACCGGGGGGGGGGGCGTGCCCCCCTCTCCCAATAATTTTGCCGATATATAGATTACTATAGAAAACATAGTTACCATATGCTAGTGCCCCCTCAATAAAAACGTCTGATGACCTTTTTTTTTTTTTTTTTTTTTTTTGCTTGTCAAGAATTTTTGGTAGTTGATAGTGCCCCTCCAACTGAAAATGTATGGCTGTGCCCCCCCCCCCCCCAAACTGAAATTGCTTCCTACGGGCCTGACAACGGACCGTGGGTTTTTCTTTAAGGCCATTCCAAATTTTTTTCTCTGTTTAGCGTCCATCTATCTTTCAAAAACCTACCTACCTATTCGCAAAAAACACACAAGTGAAAAATAAATAAAACACAGACTTTAAAGTCACAAAAACGACACCATTCAAAGGATTGATTATTCAATATATATTTCTCATAGTCTCAGAAATATATTCTTTAGCAAAATTAAGGTATTAAATGCTTAAAATATATCTGTTATGACATATAGTAGACAGGTCATTAGAAAAAATGCCAGACTTCATAGATTTCGACCAGAATAATCAATTCCAGGCCTCAATATTTTGTTTGTTTTTTCTGATATTGGGTGTCAAAAACCAAGGCGCACGCGGACGCTAAACATAGTAAAAACTTGGAATGGCCTAAGAAATTTCTTCTACGATTATTGTGTAAATTGTACATAAACTATGTCCAATTACTAGATTTTATCTTAAAATTGAATATATCATTGAAGTTATAACGAATATAACTTGGTTTCCATGGTAATCTGGAAGTAAAAGAGATAATTTATAAATTATATAGTTCCACTAGGCCGCACTAATATGCAGTTGGATTTCAAAATTGTGCATTTTTATACTTTGAAACCCATTGTCATGGCTACCATTCATCCATGTTATCTCAGATTTCTTGTGCAAAGCCTTAATGTCATACATGTAGTATCAGGAGGGTGGCTGCCTCCCCTTTCCCAAGGCATGGTATTTTAAGACCGCGGAACATTAACTGGCAAAATTGGAAATATGAAGCTTACGTCATTTCCATCTGTTACAGTCAAAATGTTTAATTAATGATAGACAATGAAATGGGCGGGTACAATTCTACACAGACGTCTGAGAAAACATCGGATTGAAATTCTAGTTTGAAATTCATTTTCAATCCACCTGAGCTGTTTTCAAACCTAAGGTGTGAATGTATGATCCAAAAGACAAATAATTTCAATTCCCAAATACATGCTGTTTGAAATTAATATTTATTATTTTATTTGAGTTTTTCATCCAATAATTCTAAGGACACGTAAAAGAAATAGAAGGCAGAGATTATTTTTTCAGGGTACGGCCATTTGATTCTGGGGGGGGGGGGGTTAAAAAATTGTTGAAGTCAGATCATTCTTTCACATGACAGAAAATATTTATTTTTAGGATGACATGAGCTTTTTTTCAAGTATTGTCTTCACTGAAAAATGTTTGACAAACAAAAACAGAGAGGGTTGTCCAAACTAAAAGAAACTTTCTTATTTATTTCCGAGATCGTTCACCCCCCCCCCCTTCCCAGCACACACATACAGATACCAAACAGAAATCAAATATTTGTCCATTTATATTTGTTTAAAGCACTGGACAGAAAATTCTGATTTATATAAATTTCAAACAATTCCAAAATTGAATTTTTTTGTCTTCTGGGTCAATCAGTAACACTGTGCGTTCTAGAGTAGCTGAGGTGCATGGATTGAAAATGAATTTCAAACTAGAATTTCAATCCAATGTTTTCTCGGACGTCCGTCTCGAATTGTACCCATTGTCTATCACAAATTATAACAAATTATCAATAATTAACAAAATAACAAATTATCAATTTGTTAAAACAAATTACTAATTTGTTATAACAGATCAGTAATTTGTTATAACAGATTAGTAATTTGTTATAACAAATCATCAATTTGTTAAAACAAATTACTAATTTGTTATAACAGATTACTAATTTGTTATAACAAATTACTAATTTGATATAACAAATTATCAATTTGATATAACAAATTAATAATTTGTTATAACAAATTAATAATTTGATATAACAAATTATTAATTTGATATAACAAATTATTAATTTGTTATAACAATTAGTAATTTGATTTAAAAAATTATTATTTTTGACAAAATATGAAGGTGAATACAGATCTACGGAAGCCAGATCAGATCAGATCAGAAATCTTATTTTAAATCGGTTTTATGAAAACGTAAAACATAAGCTTTGGAGAGCTTTTGATCAATATGTTAATATGGATTTAGATGAATTAGCAACTTAGATTAAAGCACTTTAATTTTGGCTTAATTGCAGGGTTTTTTTTTTTTTAAATTTTTGTTTTGTTTTGTTGTTGTTGTTTTTCTTTTCTTTCTTTCTTTCTTTTTTTTTTGAGTCAGTTCCTTGGAATAGATGTCTCTGTTAGACAATTAAAAGAATAGCTGCATCCCAGGGATTATGTAGAAGAAATACAGAATGTTGGATTCTTCGAGAAAAATTCGAAGTTCCGGACAATTGAATATGATTTCAACGTCGTCCATTCAAATCAACACTTTTTTCAATGTCAACACAGGGGTCAAAAGGGGAGAAGACCTAATTTTTCCTTCTTTACACATGTGTAATATTTTGTGTGTATTGTTATAACAAATTATATTGCTTAACGATTTCTTGTAAAATATATGAGAAGTCCTATATGAGACAACCAGGATACAAATTACAAATGAATTCGAAGAAACAACTGTCAAAGTTTTCAGCCAATAATAAGTAATGAAGGCTTTAGTGGGACTTTGAGGGCTTTTCCAAAAGGCACGTATTCTGATTATACAAATTACATACATACATGAAAAAAATTCACAAGGTATCTAAATTCAAATTTTACGAAGTACTACCCACTCAAGAATATTGTTTATTTTCGTTTTCAGAGAAGGTTATTACAGAGTGTTTATGATCAATTTTTCTATGATAAATCTACAAATTCATTTTTGTCAATGTTGCCTTTATTGCCCCCAGCATAAATTTGGGCCAAGGAGGTTCATCAGAGGAGCAGATTCAGGTTTATGCATTAGGAACGGTGGTTTAGTTTAAAATATATTTTCTTCATTATACATAAACTGGATTGAACAGTAGGCATAAATGCCTATAATACTCTCTCCATTTGTCTAAGTACATACATGCATAAAATTAATGGTACATTTAAAACTTGAAAAGCAGTACGTAAAGTAGATCATCATTTGGTACATGTATAGAATGAATCGAGAGAGAGAGAGAGGGGGGGAGGAGTTAAAAAGAAACAAAATAAAAAAGAAGACATATTGAAAAAGAAAACATATTATAATGAACATGTTGATTCAGGGTGGGAAAAATTCCCTCTCAAAATAACATGTCCTAGATAAGATATTTTTTTCCTAGCATACGAACGGGGATGCAATGACCTGGTAGATGGGAGTCAAGGACGGAGCCCTGGTGGGGGAGGAGGACAAAATTCAAATAGAGCTCCTAAGAATAAGTAATTAGGAACCAAAGAATTTGATGCATTGTATCTTTATAAAAATGCTTGACAGTGAAAATTCTAAGTGCTAAAAGATGTAAATCCAGATTAACATATTGATCAAATCCTGTAGCTGCAGAGCTTGTACATTTATTATTTTCACAAATCCAACTTATAAAAAGATTTCTGATCTCATCTGGCTTCCACAGATCTGTATATACTTTCACTTTATCAAAAATAGTAATTTGGTATTTATAACAAATTACCAATTTGTTATAACAAATTAATAATTTGTTATAACAAATTTATAATTTGTTGTAACAAATTAATAATTTGTTGTAACAAATTAATAATTTGTTGTAACAAATTAATAATTTGTTGTAACAAATTAATAATTTGTTATAACAAATTACTAATTTGTTATAACAAATTAGTATTTTTTATAACAAATTACTAATTTGTTATAACAAATTACTAATTTGTTATAACAAATTAATAAAAGATACTGCTGCGGCCCTAATACGCTTCCGTAAATATATGAATAAAATCCCCCATCACTTTCAAAAACAATACTCCGTGCCTGCCAAGTTTTTTTTAGTAAATATGTGATCATGCGTGAAACACCCCATATATAAGCAAATCCTTACAAAGAATGGATCTTAATGACTTACCTTAATGTGTTTCTTTCAATTTTTTTTTTTTTTTATCATACTTGCATATTTAATACAAATAAAAGAAAATGCTTTGTTAAAAAAAAAAATTCCTTTTCCTAATTTTGCGCACACTTTCAATTTTCATACATGCGTTTTTGCAACTATATTTTAAACCGGAAATTAAATGTGCGCATGCGTTCTACACCTAATTTCTAAAACTTCCTGTTGATCGCCGGTTCCACATCATCACTGAACTCCGAAGATCAAAAATGCACATCATGAGGAGAGACAAGAAGGAGGAGGAGGAAGGTGACTATTTTTGTGTAATCAGTTTCAATCGATTCCAGAGCAATTGACATCTCAAATGGGCGAAAAGCCGTTTGTGGAATATGGAAACAGTCAGGCCTAAATCATGTTACAATATATCTTTGATAAATGTTTCAAAAAATATCAAAATTTACACCATATAACATGTTTAAAATCTAAAATTTTGTTAAACGAACTTCAGTAGGCTAGCACATATTTGTACAACAATGTGGGGCGAACCATCTCAGCGCGAAACGGAATCGGTGCGAAACATCGCAGCGCGAACCATGCTTAGGTGCGAAACATCCCGTTACCATACGTTGCGGCTAAACAGAAAATTCAAATATCTTTCATAGTTTACATTACCATGTTCCTTATATGTGGAAAATACACCAGTCTATGTTAATGCAAACAGATGCACAGTTACAAGCCGTGTAGTTCTTGTCATGAACTTGTCAGGTCCGGCACAATCTCTTGATTAAGCTATATAGCTTGATTTAGCTATATAGCTTTATTAAGCTATTCAGAATAGCTTGATTTAGCTATTTTATCACACTTTTATCTCAGATGTGTTATTTTCCAAGTATGCACCAAAATCGCACCTTGGTGCAGTGATGATATTCAAACTTGAACTCTTATGAAAATAATGCATGTAAAAATCACTAATCAAATTGCGTCTCCTTAAGAGACTTTGTACTCAAAGTTCTTAAAGTTTTGGGGCTATATAAAGCAATTGATACAGTTACTTCTTCAATGAATTTATAAAGGAGGCCAATTATGGTCAACAAGATAATTGATTGGTAATAATTCAGTACAATGAGAAGCAATCATACTTTTCCATGCCTCAACGCACACAGGGTAGTGTACAGTTACTCAAACAATGGAAATTCATCTTTTGCTTAAAAGTATTCAAATGCTGCAATGTTAGAACTATCTTTGATTTGGGTTGTTGATTTGATAACCCATATTACGTATATGAATAGTCAAATACTTGCGACTTTTTGTCTATTTTGTACAAATAACATTTTTGTGAAAACCTGCATATGAATTGCTTTATCAAGCTATTTTGAATAGCTTAATAAAGCTATATAGCTATTTCAAACTATATAGCTTAATCAAGAGATTGTGCTGGACCTGCTTGTGTCATATTACTTTTGTCAGGTTGGGACGAATTGCCCAAATGGCATATATATCCCAATTGGGATGATAATCAGGCGAGTTTATTTTTTGTTAAACTTTTGTTGTTATTCCCGTGAGAACGCAGCTTAAACAAGCGATGCATTGTGGATCCAGAAGTTACTGCAGAAAAAAATTGTTTTTTATCAATGTTTAATGCCGAATTTTCTCTTCGCCCAGGCATTGTCGTTAGAGCTCGCATTGCAAGCGGCGCTTCACGTCACTCACTGCACTCGCTATAATATCCAGTGCCTCAAGGTGGTTTTATTTGTTTTGTGAAATTGACCCCCAAGAATTTAGGATCCTCTCTTTACAGGACCCTAGGTCTGGTGAAAGTATGTGATTTACCAGATACTAGTAACAGATTCATGTCATTGAGACCAGAAAAGAGAAATTATATATATAATACAAATGCACGTCACCTTCAATGTATACATTTTATTGCTTTCTTTAATAATACCGGGTATGTAGATGAACACTAAATTATCACATGATGTCTTAGTTATTTCATAGATAATAATCTTAATCTTTTCTTAATAAATCTACATTATCACACAATATCATCATTTTCAGAAAAACGGAGGAAATTTGGATTAAAGTTGGCGATGTTTTACAGTGTTTTTAAAACGTGTTATGACTGAAGCTTTGCTAAATGAGTTAAACAGGGGAAAATTAGAGACAATCTGACAATTTCACTTTCTGTTTTTTGAAGATAATTAAATAGAAAAGCATTGTTCACCAATTGGGAAAAAATACTGCCAAATTGGGAAAAATTGAACTTATTTTCAATTGGGAATGGGGCCGAATTTTGGCACCTGAGAAGGTACTGATAAATCCCTGACATTGTTTACACTAACTAATGAATTGTCATTTGGATTAATATTTTATAATCTGTCATGTTTATTTTGCTTTGTAGGTGGTGGAAATCCATTCCACAACTTGGAGAAAACAGCAGTGCTCCAGGAGGTCAGTTAATTTGTCAAGTATTAATTTGCTATCCTTTGAATCAAATAAATTTTATCTATTTATCAAAATAGATGATATGTTATATATATTAAATGACTTTTTTCAGGCCAGGACATTTAATGAGACTCCAATCAATGCCAGAAAGTGCAGCCATATTCTGACTAAAGTTCTCTACTTGATTAATCAGGTACTTTACTCCCCTAAATATAAAAATTCTACAGTATCTGTGAAAATTGATGATATTTTCTGTAGGAAGTTTTTTTTTAATATAGATTTATCATAAATTCAAAAATATGTAAAATAAGGGACCATCATGTCTCTTGAAATCAAATGAGACTAATTTACTGATATGTTTATTTTGAAATTTAATAAATTTATTAAAAATTTATTAAAATTACAGGGAGAACAGATCGGATCAACAGAAGCTACTGAGACTTTCTTTGCTATGACAAAGCTTTTTCAAGCCAAGGATGTACGTAATAAGTTATAACACTCTTCAAAAGTGTTTGGATACATGTAATTGACTTATATTAATTAACATGATATATTTTTGATGATATGTTTTGTGTCAAAATTATTCATGAAAACAGGTGCAAAATATGTAATTTCAAGTTCACTTAATCCTAGAACCTGTATTTGAAAATTAATGAAGAGAGAGGTTTAAGATTGAAATATCTATGCTATATTTTGAAAGAGAAATGATATGGTTCTGTTAACATTTTAGCCCATTTTGCGAAGACTGATGTACCTTGGAATAAAAGAAATGTCCAAGATTGCTCAAGATGTGATCATTGTTACTAGCAGGTACTGTATACATAGTACATGTATTGCTATTTACATAAATATGAGAAGACAATCATTGTATTTTGACTCCTGTAAATACAAAAAATATAGCTTGACCTGAATGAGCTCTTTTTAGCATTTTGAATAGATCAGATTTGGCCTGTTTTCAATCATGGTTTTAATAACTCTGTATTGTAGTTTAATGAAGGACATGACAGGAAAAGATGACCAGTTTAGGGGACCAGCCATCAGAGCTCTCTGTTCAATCACTGATGTAAGTATTTGTTTTTATACCCCCGCTCCGAAGGAGAGGGGGGTATACTGTTTTACCCTTGTGTGTCTGTCTGTCTGTCTGTCTGTCTGTCTGTCTGTAACAAACTTTGGTCGCAGTTTTCTCAGCAACTACTCATCAGAGGTGCTTGAAATTTTAACACACTCTTTGTTTAGGCATGCCATATGGTGGGATTCATTTTTGTATGAATTCGATGTCAACTTCCTGTTTATCCCTGCGTTTGTCCGTACCATACATAAAAAAATTTGGTCGTAGTTTTCTCAGCAACTACTCATCGCAGATGCTTGAAATTTCAGCACAATCTTTGTTTAGGCATGCCATATGGTGGGATTCATTTTTGTACGAATCCGATGTCAACTTCCTGTTTATCCGTGCGTCTGTCCGTATCACACATAACAAACTTTGGTTGCAGTTTTCTCAGCAACTACTCATCACAGGTGCTTGAAATTTTAACACACTCTTTGTTTAGGCATGCCATATGGTGGGATACATTTTTGTACTAATCCGATGTCAACTTCCTGTTTATCTGTGCGTCTGTCCGTACCACACATAACAAACTTTGGTCGCAGTTTTCTCAGCAACTACTCATCATAGGTGCTTGAAATTTTAACACACTCTTTGTTTAGGCATGCCATATGGTGGGATTCATTTTTGTACGAATCCGATATCAACTTCCTGTTTATCCATGCATCTGTCCGTACCATACATAACAAATTTTAGTCGTAGTTTTCTCAGCAACTACTCATTGCAGATGCTTGAAATTTTAGCACAATCTTTGTTTAGGCATGCCATATAATAGGATTCATTTTTGGAACAAATCCGATGTCAACTTCCTGTTTATCCATGTGTCTGTCCGTACCATACATAATAAATTTTGGTCGTAGTTTTCTCAGCAACTACTCATCGCAGATGCTTGAAATTTTTTCTTTGTTTAGGCATGCCATATGTTGGGATTCAGTTTTTACAAATCCGATGTCAATTTCCTGATTATCACTGTTTTTGTCCATAACTGAACTTGTGTATTCACATCAGAGAGGGGGTATTATTAGTGAGCATTGGCTCACAGACTTCTTGTTTATTTCTAAAATCATTTTATCCCCCCTCCCCCCTTCCCAAAATTACTAGTAATTAGTCTGTTAGAACAATTATAGATTAAGGAATGAACATCAAAGGGCAATGTTAAACATGGTCACTCTTGCTTTACATGTATTAACAACAAATTAAGTGCATGTTCTTGATTTGTTTAATGGAAAATGACTCAAGTAATTTAAGATTTTGTGATTTTTTTAGAACACTATGCTACAGAGTATTGAGAGGTATATGAAGCAGGCCATAGTGGACAAGAACCATGCTGTATCTAGTGCAGCTCTTGTCTCCTCTTTGGTAATTATATTCATAAGCAGAATCTTTTCTTTTTTGAAATTACCATTCAAGTAAGTTAATGAAGGATAAAATTTTGGAATTAAAAAAGTCATATGGTATGATTTCTCTGCTAAAAGTTAATGACCTCAGATTTAATTTCTGCTTGAAATCCAAAAAATATTTATTTATATGAAATAAAGAAAAGGAAGCAAATTTATGAAATTTGAAAGAAAAACAAAACCAGAGAAAGTAATGATTAATATTAAAATTATAGCACCTGAGTAAAGGAAGCTCTGAGGTGGTCAAGCGATGGGTGAACGAGGCACAAGAGGCAGTGTCCAGTGATAACATAATGAATCAGGTAATATATTTCTGTCACAGTTGTCTGTATTATACATAGATAATAGGAATATTTGTGTATGTAAAATTTCTATCCTCACGATAAACTAACAGAATTCACAGTTAATATGAACTGTTTATTTATCTGTAATTGATAAATTAGTTTCCTTTTTACATGAAAAGTTTCATATTAGCTTGTTCTTTTAATGTATCCCTTTATATTATAATTTTCTGTTTATTTTAAACCCAGATTTCTGATTGTAGAATAATCTTTATGTTAGCTGATATTGAAATCGTCATTGTTATTTCAGTACCATGCTTTGGGTCTTCTTTACCACATTAGAAAATATGATCGTCTTGCTGTCACCAAATTAGTCAGCAAGTTCAGCAAGCACTCTCTTAAGTCACCATATGCCTACTGTCTACTGGTACGTACCGTATGCTTTTTTTAATGGCCTAATGTACCTTCATGTGAAGTTCTAAAAATAACTCATTTACAACTGGAAGTAAAAAAAAAATATACATGTATATTTCCCAAAAGTTAATATGTAGTATTTTTTCCTAATGGAAAACTTGTAATGTATGTTACTGTACCTGTTTATATAGATGTCTTATTAATGTTTTCCCTTCACAGATTCGTATTGCCAGTAAACTGTTTATATACATGTAGATATCTTACTGATGTTTTCCCTTCACAGATTCGTATTGCCAGTAAACTGTTTATATAGATGTCTTATTGATGTTTTCCCTTCCCAGATTCATATTGCCAGTTAACTGTTTATATAGATGTCTTATTGATGTTTTCCCTTCACAGATACGTATTGCCAGTAAACTGTTTATATAGATGTTTTATTGATGTTTTCCCTTCACAGATACGTATTGCCAGTAAACTGATGGAAGAGGAAGGTGCAGGGTGAGACAGTCATTTTCCTCGATTGCTTTTACAACATTTAAAAATTTATTTGTTACCTCTCTTACTGCTTAGACATTATGATTTGCAGCTGGTTTATTCTAAAATCATGAGAATATTGACTTAATTAAAGTTAAAGGTATGCTAATATTTTTTTATATCAGTTGCTCACAATTGTTATCTGTAAATATCTATTTTACAGGACAGAAAGTCCAATGTTTGACTTTATTGAGAACTGCCTTCGACACAAGAGTGAGATTGTCATCTATGAAGCTGCTCATGCTATTGTGAATTTGAAGAACACCTCGGCTAAGGAGCTGGCTTCTGCTATCCCAGTTCTTCAGTTGTTCTGTAGCTCACCAAAGCCTACACTGAGGTTTGCTGCCATTAGAACTCTTAACAAGGTAAGGAGTTTACAATGATAGATAATAAACATGTATACAGTATACACATGTAGCTAAATACAAAAAGTATAATTTTATATGTACATGTAGCCAAAAAAAAAGATTGGTACTAAATATGCTCTGAATGACATTTATTAAGTTTGTTACAAGCATAAAAAAGGAAAATAAATTAGAAAAAACCCCTTTCATATGAAATGTTTTCTAAGAGTTGATGAAATTTAAATTTTTTTTGTACGAGGGTGTATTGTACATTTACATGGTACAGAGATGAAAAAGTTGATGTGAGGTTTTAATTAGAATATGAACATGTTACTGATTGTATATGTCTGTTGAAGGTTGCAATGAAGCACCCAGCTGCAGTGACAGCCTGTAATATGGAACTGGAGAATTTGATCACAGACTCCAACAGAAGCATAGCCACACTGGCCATTACAACATTACTCAAGGTAGGTAACTCTTACATCTATCAGTATTACTTTACATGTCACAGTTTGTCTTTCTTATTTCTGTGTGCACTCTTAACCAAGAATGGTAAGATAAGATGGAATGCAAAAAAACAAAAAAAAAAAAAAAAAAAACAAAAAATTCGAAGAAGCATAGAAGGAGCTTCTGTGTTCAGACTTAACGGAAACTTATCAAATGATAAATTTGACTAATTGATCTTTCACATTAATCTCCCTGGTTAATTTTATGTAATACTTGCAGAATTACTTCTCATTATTAGCCCAACATGTTTATGTATGTTTAATTCAGGATAAGATAATTTGAGGTCTGTTTTTAGACTGGGAATGAGAGCAGTGTGGACAGGCTGATGAAACAAATCTCAAGTTTTATGAATGAAATCTCTGATGAATTCAAGATAGTTGTTGTACAGGCCATTCAGTAAGTACTACAGCAATCATCACAAACCATTCTTGTTTCTGGCAGTCAATGTATGTCAAACTCTTCAAAAATTAACATGCTAGTACCTAGACTAGCTGTATATATTGTCAAAGTGCATGTAAGTTATTGTGTGATTTCTGCAACAATGTTTTTCACTTACATAGGAGTACAAAAGATTCATTTAAATCTTATAATTCTAGATCACTGTGTTTGAAGTTCCCAAGAAAGCACAATGTGTTGATGAACTTCCTGTCTTCTATGCTTAGAGACGAGGTAAGATGAATTCTTTAACAGAATTTTCATCATCATAATGACGGTGCAAGTTCAGAATTTAAAAAAAAAAAAGAGAGATTGTAATATCTTCAAAAATTCTTGATATTGTGTTAAAATATAGAATTGGAATTTACTGAATTATGAGGTCTAAATTTAATTTTGTTTATAGGGAGGTTTTGAATACAAGAAAGCCATCTGTGACAGCATCATCACAATCATCGAGGAAAATGCTGATGCCAAAGAAGCAGGTATGACATTTTACTATAAAGTGCAAATTTCTACATGTATTTATGGAAAGTTGTGTCTTTTAGTTTCTTTTCAATATATTCGTGTAGAAATTCTAGAGCTTCATATGGTTCTGTTTGTGTACAGGTTTGGCTCACTTGTGTGAATTCATTGAGGACTGTGAACATACTGTCCTGGCAACCAGAATCTTACACCTGCTTGGGAGGGAAGGACCCAGAACTCCCACCCCCTCCAAGTACATCCGCTTCATCTACAACAGGGTCATCCTGGAGCATGCCCCAGTCAGAGCAGGTAAGAAAGAAAATATTAAGTATAGATGCATATCATTTTGGAAGGGAATAAAAAAGTAGAATTCTAAGTTATGTTAAAGAATGATTAGTAAAATATTATAAGGGTTAATCAGGTCAGTAAAAATGTATCACTGGTTTGTGTATCTTAAAGAACGATAAAAAGATAGAGATTGAAAACTTTTCATTTGAAAATGATAAAACAGACTGAGCTTTGTATGAAAAACATTTTCTAAAATCTTTTCCAGCTGCAGTGTCGGCTCTGGCTAAGTTTGGAGCTCACTGTGAGGAACTGTTACCTAGCTGTATTGTACTCTTAGAGAGGTAGGCATATTCCTCTCTTACTTATTAGGGTCATCCTATGATTATCATCTTTGTGTTGTGTTCTGTGGACTTGTATTTATTATTACTTATTATATATCAAGGTGATATTTGAGTTAGGAAGTTTTTAGATAAGTTTAACTCCTTCTCTTTACAGGTGCCTGTTGGATACAGATGATGAGGTTAGAGACAGAGCCACCTTTTATGTCCACGTCCTCCATCAAAAACAGAAAGCTCTCAACTCTGCCTACATACTTAATGGTAAACATCTTATGAATTATTTAAGAAATAATTGCTTAGTTTTAAGCTCACCTGATTAAAATTTGTTTGCTGTCAGATGAACTTTTTTTTTTGACTGTTTAATAAATTTTTCGGTGTATCATTGTATATGAAATTCTATTTTGGCAGTAGTTGATGTACTAAAAGCAAAGGCACCAAAATACACTTATAAATCCCACTAATACAAGTTTGCGGCCACTCTATCATTTCTCTTTTTGTTGACAAACTTTAACTATGTTTTCAATTTGCAGGGGTTATTAATTACAAATTGCACTAAAATAAATCTTCATGATTTACTTGATGATTTGATGTGTTAGCCTGGGGTTTTGTTTTGTTCCAGGTTTACAGGTGTCTGTTGTTGGACTAGAGAGGGCACTCCACCACTATACATTGGAACCCTCGGAACAACCATTCGACATGAAGTCTGTACCACTGGAGACCCAACCCATCACAGAACAGAAAGCTGGTAAGTATGATTAATGAACAGTTGTTCATGAAAAAAAAAATACAATTTGTAAAACTTAATATAAAGAGTTCTTTTATAATTTTTTTTTTTTTATATTGAGAATCATTGAATTGCTTCATTTTCTGTGGATGAATATGTTTTAAATGTCATTGTATTTGACAGTGAGAGAACCAGGTGACACTGCAGCACCTAAAGCAGAAAAAGTGGCAGCTTCCAGACAAGATGTTTATGCTGGTAAGGGGAGGTCAATCTGTAAATATACAGAAATCGTCATATTCTGCCCCATTAATGTGTGATCATGAATAAAAATTACAGCTGAAAATACCAATAAGAAGAGGGTAAAATTTGTCTTAAATACTTTAGTCTGTTAACTTTTATAAGTTAGATATTCGGTTATGAAACCAGTGTTTGTTATGTGTAATTACAGAACAATTGAGAGCCATACCAGAGTTTGCTAATTTGGGAAACTTGTTCAAGTCCTCTTCTTTACCTGTGGAGCTGACGGAGTCAGAAACAGAGTATGTGGTACAGTGTATCAAACACACCTTTGGGCGATACATTGTATTCCAGGTACTATCTTTTTATAAGTATTTAACATTCTTGTTTTTATAATACATGTACTTCCTTTTGAATCAAAAGTTTTGATTTTAGTGGAAATAGAAAGTTTCATATATTCATACCTTTAAATAAAGATCCATTTCTACCACTTTGAAAATGATTGAGTATGGAATTTACTTATTACATTTATAGTATGTAAGTAATAATATGTAAGATGGAATTTATGATGAAAAATGAAATATGTTTCTCTTTCAATATATTGATGCAGAATATTAGTTTTCGTGGGATGAAAAAAATCACGACATTAGCAGTAGATGTGTACTTTTTGATATCTACTTCGTTATACAAAATGGACAGTGATAAAGTAAATGTGTGTTTGTAGTTTGACTGTACTAACACTCTGAATGACCAAGTCCTGGAGCGTGTAACTGTCCAGATGGAGCCAGCTGAGGGCTTTGAGGTTCTGAAGATGATTCCTTGCCCCTCCCTGCCATACAATAAACCAGGGACCACCTACACAATGGTCAGACTACCCGAGGATGCTCAGCTAGGTACAGATTATTTCCTGTCAGACATTTAATTAATGGTTGATGCTGCAATTATCATGATATTTCATTCATCAACTTTCTTTTTCATTACATTTTAACTGTTAAAATGCAAATTTTCACTGAGAAATACATGTATATTTTGTCCTTATGATAAGTCATTATATATTCATTTCCTACCTTCTTATAATTCAAAAGAAGAAAAAGTACCATGTTTGATTTTATACATGAATTGTGTGGTTAGTTATTATGTGTTCTCAGCTTATGAGTTTGGAGGTAACAAACAAATAAAATATGTATATTCTGTTACAGTAACTGGAACATTTAGCTGTGTCCTGAAGTTTATAGTAAAGGACTGTGACCCAAATACAGGAGAACCAGATGATGAGGGATACGAGGACGAATATGTCCTTGAGGATGTAGAGGTCACTGTGGCTGACCATGTACAGCGAGTTATTAAACCAAACTTTAGCGCCTCCTGGGAGGAAGTTGGCCCAGAAAATGAATTGGAGGATACATACGCCTTGTCTACAGTTAAGACTTTGGAAGGTAAGAAGATGCTGATGTTCAGAACCTTTCAGGATTTTATCCACAAAAGGATGAATAAAGATTTTGTTCAAATATTTGTGTACAGCTGAACAAAAAAGTCATTGAGCTGTGTTTATTGATGTCTTGCTCTTTTACATGACAGATGCTGTGAAGCAGATAATACAGTTTATGGGTATGCAGCCATGTGAGCGATCTGATAAGATTCCAGAGGGTAAGAGTTCCCACACCCTGTACCTGGCAGGGGTATATAGAGGGGGACATGATGCGCTTGTACGGGCCAAGCTGGCCCTATCAAATAACGGGGTCACCATGCAGTTAACTGTCAGATCAACTGATCCTGATGCTTCAGAAGTCCTAGCTACAGCCATTGGTTAATTGTGTGTGCTTAAAAACAATAACTCATAAAATTTTTGGAAATGTTTATTATAATATGAAAAAATATAAGAAACATTTGAGATTGAATTAATAGAAAATATATTTGTCATTTTATTCTTATTGTTGTTGGGATATAATGTATACAAATAAAAGTATCATGTCTGTGTTACACTCTATTTTTTTTCAGTTTAAATAATGATTTTTAAAAGTCAAACAAAAGTGTTCATAGTTAACACACTGAATATGTACTTATGTAAAGCAATGAGGGAAATGAAGTACATGTATTTACATATAATGCATACATGGATTTGTATACATATTTGTGTGTGTAATATAAATTTTAAACTTTCTTAGCGGCAACTTGCCACAAGGGCCACTTTTCATTCCCCTCCAATGATCTGTACAAAGTACAATTTTTTTCTCTAAATCATGACCCCTGATTCATGTTGACAAAGGTATAATATAATTCTTCTAAATTGAAGTTGAAATGATTCTATATGTAATTAAAATTTTTTGAAATATCAAGTCATATCAGAGCTTTTTATGAAATGATAAATATGTAATATTGCAAGATGTCCATAAGTGTAATCTTAAATTATGGTAGGCTGTTGACATATTAATTTGCGCAACATATGTCCTCTAACTAATAGTCCTACTTTGAGTACTCCATTGCATAGACAACGAGAAGAATTCTGGATCAGGAAACTAGACATGGCCTTTCCGTATGGTTGCAAGGACCACAAAAATAATGTAGTGAATTCCTGAAGCCCACAGTGTGCAAATGTGAATGTGATGGGACCTTTAAATGAAACATGTAGATTAAGACGTAGTCATGGACATCGATCATACCATAGACCAAATATACACGGTGTCTTTGATTCACATGGTGTCTTTGATTCACTTTTTACAACCATTCCTCATAATAAATTAAAAACTAGGCTTTTTGATATATCATCAATTGCTTCTTCAATAAAAATGGAAGTCAGAAGTTTTGGCATCTTTTGATTGGTCATCAATAACATTACTTTGTTAAAAATCACTCTGATTCTATACACAATAACTCTGAAGTTGATATTAAAAGAATGCTGGAGTTCCTAATTGACAACATTTAGGTGGTCTTCGGAGGTCTTCCGACAAACTGTTGGAGTTTTGATGGGCACTAATTGTGGTTCTTTATTATCTGACCTGTTTTTATATTCCTATGAAGCAAAATTTATTCAAAAACCTACATAGAAGAAGTGGCCTTTAATTTGACAAAAAGATATATCAATGAAATAATTTCAATTAACAATACATGTTGTTACTTCCATTCATATTTCGATATATCTCAGTGAACTTGGGAGGAGGGGGGGGGGGCACCACAGAGTCTGCCACATCTGCTTCATATTTAGACGTTGTACTGACTATAGACGACTAACAACTAAATTGTATGACAAAGGAGATGATTTCAGCTTTTCCGTCGTCAACTTTATTTATGTAGTAATATCCCGATATCATCTGTGTTAATATCTCCCAACTTATTCGATGCCCCGAGTTAGATCAATTTTTTGAACCGAGACAGGCTACTGACAGATAAGTTGATGTTAAAGGAATTTCAAGAACCTCGTTTAAAGTCAGCATGTCATAAATTCTATGGTCATTATAATGACCCTGTTTTCAAATATAAGCGATCACTGGGTCGTATTTTGACTTGTGGGTGAATTAAAATAGATGACCAGACATATATTTATCAACCTGCACTATAAATATACAGACAACGTGAATTCATTACCACGCAGATAAGCCAAAAACAATATAGTGCTTGAGTACTCACAACCAATACCTTTCACATAGGCCTCTTTGAAGAATATTTATTGCGAAAAGATAAGGTATTTTAATCTCATTATTTATTTATCTATTATTTACAAGTGAACCTGCTGACCATTAAAATTAAAGTATGAAAGTCCCTTTTGTACCATATCAAAAATCTTTGTATAAGGTGGATAAAAAAAAATGACAGGCACATATTTATCAACCTGCACTAAAAATACAGGCAATGAGAATAATTTTCTACATCTCAGCATATGTCTTTTGGCATTGTCTAAATACCTGCCGAATATCTTATTGATATATCAAGTCATAAAAAGGTTATGTCCAAAAATGATACTAAAATGTCAAGAGTGCAACACCTTTTTGCGATATTTTGAAAATTCAATATTTTTTTTGAAGATCTGTGAAATAAATAATAATGGTTTTTGTTGGAAATAAAGCCTTTCCTGATAGTATTCAAAGTATTGAGCTTTAAATATAGACTGTCCTTTACATAGCAACTTTTGTTTGAGTTCTGGTCATGGTTGATGCTGAAAAAAATGCCAAGTCAGGAGTTCAAGAGAAAAAATGTATTGTTGTCGGTTGCCGAAAAATCGTTAATTTTAAAAATCTGCATAACAATTAAGTCAAAAAAGAATTTTCAAAGTGTAAAACAATAACTAATGTACCTTTTAAAATCTTAAAAAATATTTTATAAATCACAAGCAGCATTAATGAGAGTCGAGTATCTGCTGCGCCTACCAATTATGTCAGGAGTGCAACATTTGATGTTTTGCTCCCCAGCACGAAAAAACTTTCATCAGTATATGATTCTTTGATTTCTATATTGGAAAATAAAGACACAAGGAACATTTTTAACAAATAGATTTATCAATTACAGGATCTGTCTGTGTTTCAGATCTATATTTTTATTGTCAGGAGTGCAACACATTTTTTAAAGATCCAATGCAAGTTATATGATGAAAAGACTTCTATTCACACTTATTAATATTCTTTAATCAATATTCTATTTAAATAATTTAGTACTAAACTATTGACATTTTTATTACTAAAATCCGTCTTTTTTCATTTTTATCAATCCAGATGTGTTTTTAACTTTTTTTTTAAAATTTGTTCATATATGAATGTAATAAAAACACACTTAAAAAATTGCTATAAAATTCAAGTAATTCCTCTTTAACTTCAATGAAACAACAGAACACATTCTAATGTAATTTATGCTTCACAATTCTACTTTAAAGACTCACATGCTTTTGGTCAGGAGTGCAACAATTATGCTAGAATTATTGCTGATCAAAATATCAATAAATATAATGAAAAAATCGATGAGTAGAATGTTTCTGGTGGACCTAGTTGCTAACAGTGTTTCTCCCGTGAAGGAAAATATACTATAAAATATACTTTTATCTTTTAAATATATTTTTAGCTAGTTTTTTGACATAAAAAGGGAAAAATGCAAGATGTAAAACCATGTTTAAATATTTTTTTGTGTTTTACCCATGAAGTATTGGACTATAAATATTGCACTTGGTATTGCCAACACTTTTTAGTGTTCTATGGTTTTAATTTTAAATTTTAAACTACAGGCAGAAGTGCAACAAAACTGTTTTATGACTATCAATGAACTTCGTCCATCTTTACTAAAAAATAAATAGCAGAAAATGTTCGATACTATTTGTAGTTCAAATCATTATGTCCATCAACAAATTACATGTACAGATATTGTTTGGACATTTTACAGTCAATTCACAGAATAGTTTTTATCACTAAACATATAAGGCCTCTGCTGGTTGACTGTTAGTCCCCGAGGGTCTCTACAGCCCAGTAGCTAAGTACTTCGGTACTAGCTTGAAAATAGGGATATATATTTAATTGTTGGGGTAAAATTTTGAAATTTATTCAAAATTAAGGATTATCTCCCTCATGCATTGCTCTGATCCTTCGACGTATTTGGCTCCAGTCTTTTGTAACCCCAGCCCCTTTTCAGCTCTCCAAAAGTCTTTTTTTAATTCAAATATTTCGGATTTCCAACATTTCGGTATGCACATCACTGAAGAGACATAGTTTGTCGAAATGCGCATCTGGTGCATCAAAATTGGTACCGTATAAGATTAACACCTAAACATTTATATCCCTGAAACCATTTTAAAGCATAAAAATCTATAATTTGTTTTAATTATGTATTTTAGGAAGTCTTTTAAGATGTTGTAATATTTTCTTTTTTCAAATAAAGTTTTCTTAAAAAAATTCTGAAACTATTTTTTATGCAATTGTCTATTATATTACCACTTCAGGAATTTTAACTAGAATGCATATATACAGTATGATGATATAAGTGAAAAACATATTATGGTTATTTGAATTTTTTCAAGAGATTTCAATTTGGCGGTCATTCTTTAATTCACCCTGATGTGTTTCATACAATTGTTAAGCTTTTGTTTTTATACTGAATTTGACTACGGAATGTTCCCTCTACCCGATCAAAATCCATGGGACACACGGTGGGTGTGACTGGTCAACAGGGGATGCTTACTCTTCCTAGGCACCTGATCCCACCTCTGAAATTTTCAGGCGTTCGTGTTTAATGCTCTCTTAACAGATTTGTATTGTTTACAGATTTTTTTTAAAATCGATCACTGTTCGTTATCTTCACCTTTTTCATGTATACTCTGAAGGATTTTGTAGCATAGAAAGCACATTTATGAGAAAAAACAAAATATCAATCAGTATTTAACTGTAGAAATATCATGAATTTTAATACATCGAATTTTTTTCCTCTCTCAAAAATTCAATGGGAGTTTAGAAATTCCTAAAAAGAACGAAGGTGGAATATTACAAATTTTACTGCATTTTCAAGGATTTCTTAAAAACATCAAACATAAATAACGCAGAACAATCTACAAAAACAAAGGCTTGATATTTAAATTATTAGATATTTTAGGGACAGAGGCCATAATATATAGAAAAAAAACGTTTTATTTAATCATTATAGTCCGGGAAATGTTTTTCTACACAGATATTTCTAAAGGAATCAAATATTTGATGAGACTTTGACGTATCCGGACAAGCTCCACTGAAACGAACTCGTCCGTCTCTGCAGACAAGAAAATAAGGGGTTCCCTCTTTTCCTGGCCAGGGATTTAGCCCTTCCTTAAGTCCATAACAACTCGGATGCCGAAGAAAACATGGAGGGCAATGTGCATGCTTACATAAGTATTTGTCATATTCACCTGAAAAAAGTTAAAAGTATTTAGTTAACGTTATTGTGGTACAGAATATATACACGCATGTGCACGATCTGCATGGAAGCTTTTATTTTTTTCTTATGTGCAAAAGAATTTTGAAAAAAATAAGAAAATGAATTCTAGCCATAATGAATCTCGATGAGTAGATACAATTTTAACTTAGTTCGCACTTTGATTTGTTACATTGCGAGTGAAACATTTTAAACAACTACTGAATGTTAAATAATGATTTCAAGGAAAACCTTACTTGGTACATGTATTACTAAATGATATAAAGTATCAAAAATCATTTGTTGATTTTATGTAATTTCAAACGAGAATTTTTTTTTTTTTTATTAAATCCATATTTGAATTCACAAATCAGAAGACCTTCTTATTCATAAGGCTGCAATAATAAAATAATAAAATAATTATGAATCCAAACCCTGTCATTTAACTTACACACTGGAACATTAAAAATTTAACAAGATCAGCAAATCCAGAACATGCTGGTTATGATGGGGATGATTATGATTTATATAAATATATTACTAAACGTTTTGGTCCTAAAATGATATTGATAAAAATTGAAATGATAATATATAATAGAAGAAATACTGTAAACCACCACTATTATTCGTGTCATCTTTTATTCGCGATTCGTCAGTTTAAAAACAACCCGCGATTATTCATTTTCGCGGCTGAGGATCATTCTCTACAAATACAAAACAAAATAAATGGTTCGAGGCGATTAATATTCGCAATTTAAAGTAGGTCGCGAAACTCGCGAATATTTCTCGCACGCGTATAAATGTTGGTTTACAGTAGATAAAAATAAATAAATAAGTAATAATCAAAGTAAATTTTTACCGCCCCGACGTTTAGAAAAAAAAATTATCATATTCAGTCATCCTTAAAATTAAAAAAAATATATAATATTTCTAATGAAATAATGATCAACAAACTAGAAATCGATGTTTCAAGGTTAGTACATTTGTAAGAGTCTAGTATAACTTCGTGTATTATAAGAGACATGATCTTATAGACTCTTTGTCTCTCAAGTCGTTTTACGTGGACACTTTATATCTTGTCTCTCTCTTTCGACAGGAAAGTGTAATGGGACGCTTATTATCACAATATGTTATTCTTAGTTAATCAATTATTTTTAAATCATGATATAATATTCATTATATATAATATCTTACAATGACTCTTTGGTTCAAATCTTCGTCCACATTTTACAACACTGTAATGTTCACATCGTCCTGATTCAGGACTAAACAAGGAAGGGAAGTCGCATTCTTGAATTCGCGCCATTGTTCCACTGGGCATGTTGGCATCACATACATAGTATTTTGCACAGTTATATGGATGCTCCATCGTGCTATTTGGGAATCGAATACATAATTCTCGCCTCCATTTTTCTTCTCTGGGACCTTAAAAGTATCAACAATATATTTAAATTAAAAACGTTAAATTAGTTATTCATGTATTGTGATAATTTGCATAAAATAATTTTGAATGAAATGAAAATGAAATTAGCAGTAGGTGCTTCAAAAGTTCCATACATGGATTAGGACAGTACATTTAATAATGTGAGTGAAAAAAGACACCTAATTTCAAAAAAAGATAGACAACTTCATTAACTGATGGTATAAATTCCAAATGCATTAAATCAACCTTTTGAAACCAAACCTGTCAACGTTTTAAAATATAAAATGTAAAACAACGTGTAACTTAAGCAACCTGATATCCTTGCCGCATTTTTAATGCATAATTTATTCAAAGACGAAATAAATTAATTATTGTATAAAAATGAAGACTTTATCAGACCTATGGCCGATAAACTTCCATCAGTGCAATCCGTAAGTACATTACTGTACAAATCCAAAGTAATTCCATCGTAACAAGGTATACACACCCCGAAAAAAGTTAATGACAACAATAATAAATTTTTTTCTATAATGAAAGTTATCTTTTTACTCATAATACTACTTATATGCATAACGGGGGTATGTTGAATAAAACAAGATGTCATTTAAAGGTGGAATGTAAAAAAAAGAAGATAACAAAAAGTGATCAATCTCTCAAATCCTTTAAAATACTAATCGTGATAATGGCAAAAACACGGATCTCTGGAAAATCAAGAGGTGGGATCAGGTGCCTCTTAGGAGAAAGCATCCCCTGTCACCGGTCACACCTGCCATGAGCACTATGTATTGATCAGGTGGACGGAGTAATCTGTAGTCAAATTTAGAAAAAAATATTTAAAAAGAATGACCAAACAATCGATATGAAGCATGTCTGAAAAAAATTCGAGCCAACGATAGGTTTTATTTGCAAGGAAAGTCATTATAATGACCATGAAATTTGCGAATGCTATCTTTAACAAGCCTGTCGAATCCAGTAACATCAACTTATTTGTCAGCAGATGCAGCTGAAAACTTGGCCGTACTCAGAGCATGATCTTGTGTATCGAATCAATCGGGAAACATAACACCATTTGCAGGTTTTAATAGGATATTACTATAAAGATAAAGAACTCTGACAATGGAAAAACTGAAATCAATTTGTCATACTGATTAGTTGTTAGTTGCCCTTTTTTGTCTATAATCATTAAAACATTATTTCGATGTTCACTGGGATATGTTGAGTCTATATATGAATGGAAGTATCTGATGTTTATTGATAAATTTAAATGTCGAGTTGAAGTCATAGCAAAAGTTTTCTTCTTCTCATGTAGAAGTTTTTGAAAAATGCTTCATAAGTATATGGAATTGGACGGCTAATAAAGGAGCACAGTTTGTGTTTAGCGCAAATCCAACAGATTGTTGAAAACTCTAATATCCAAAGACTTAATAGATATTATCAATGAGGAACTTCAGAAGTAATGTCCTCACATAAATGGTTGCCTCTAAATGTACTCTGAGTAACTTGAACAAAACCACAAGAATAATTCTATAAAAAGCACATTACGTATCAGCGTGTTTCAAATTTAATATAAAATGCTCGATGAACTTGCCGACTTTTAATGTTAGTTTTTTATAAAGTAAATTCATAACCAGTCTGAAATTGAAGAGTTTAATGAAGCATAGTGTTATGCAAAAGTTTCTGAAAGTAAAGAAATCCGTAGTGTCTAAAATTCTAACAATCTGTAAGACCATTCCCCAAGATAAATTAAAGACCAGGCTTTTTGACACCATAGGCAACTTCTTTTTCAGTACGAATGTAAATCGTGAATCTACACATCTTGTCATTGGCGACCTCGTACATACTTATTTTATTTAAAAACATTCTGATTCTACACATTAATACTCCGAAGTTGATACAAAAAATAGTTGAGTTTATGACAATATCTATGTGGTTTTGGTGGCAAGGTCTTCCAACAATCTGTTGGAATTCCCAAGGGTTCTAATTGTGCCTGTTATTAGCAGACCTGTTTTGATTCATATGAAAATTTATTTAAAAAAAGAAACAATATGTGTTTGTGAAACACTGATGCCCCCGTATGGCAGCTTATGATGAAGGTTAAAGTTTCTCAAATGCGAGTCAAAATCCAGGCCAAAAGATGAAAAATGTTGGTACCCAAAGAAAGGTCTTGTCTCGAGGAATATACCTATGAAATTTGAAAAACCTAGCTGCAACTGTTCAAAAGTTATGGCGAAGGTTAAAGTTTTTTAAAAGTAAGTAAAACGTCAAGGTCAAAGTGGTTGGTATCCAAAGAAAGGTCTTGTCACAAGGATTACTATGTGAAGTATGAAAGCTCTAGCACCAACCATTCAAAAGTTATGACCAAGGTTAAAGATTTTCGAAAGTAGGTCAAACTCCTATGTCAAGGTCAAAGGGTCAAAGTGGTTGGTATCCAAAGGAAGGTCTTGTCACAAGAATTACATATGTGAAATATGAAAGTCCTAGCATCAACCATTCAAAAGTTATGACCAAGGTTAAAATTTTTCTAGAGTAGTTCAAACTCCTATGTCAAGGTCAAAGGGTCAAAGTGGTTGGTGTCCAAAGGAAGGTGATGTCACAAGAATTACATATGTGAAGTATGAAAGCCTTAGCACAAACCATTTAAAAGTTATGGCCAAGGTTAAAGTTTTTCAAAAGTAGGTCAAACTCCTAGGTCAAGGTCAAAAGGTCAAAGTGGTTGGTATTAAAAACAAGAGGCCCAGGGGCCACATCGCTCACCTGAGCACGGTGGCTAGGAAAAAAAGCAAAAATCTGTTTAGTATTGAAAAGATTTTCCTATGTATTCAATGTAAAACTTTGATCGTCCAATGTGGCCCCACCCTACCCCTAGGGGGTCATGATTTGAACAAACTTGAATCTACACTACCTGAGGATGCTTTCACATAAATATGACCAATCATGGCTTTGCTGTTCTTGAAAAGAATTTTTGAGATTTTTCTATATACTCCTATGTTAAACTTTGATCATCAATTGTGGCCCCACCCTATCCCCCAGGGGTCATTGTTTGAGCAAACTTGAATCTACACCTCCTGCAGATGCTTCCATATAAATATAACCAATCATGGCTTTGCTGTTCTGGAAAAGAAGATTTTTTTAAAAGATTTTTCCTATATACTCCTATGTTAAACTTTGATCATCCATTGTGGCCCCACCCTACCCCCGGGGGTCGTGATTTGAAAAACTTGATTCTACACCACCTGAGGATGCTTTCACATAAATATGACCAATCATGGCTTTGCAGTTCTTGAGAAGAAGAATTTTAAAGATTTTTCCTATATACTCCTATGTTAAACTTTGATCGTCCATTGCGGCCCAACCCTACCCCGGGGGTCGTGATTTGAACAAATTTGATTCTACACCACCTGAAAATGCTTCCATATAAAGATGACCAATCAATGCTTTGCTGTTCTTGAGAAGAAGAATTTTAATGATTTTTCCTATATACTCCTATGTTAAATTTGATCGTCCATTGTGGCCCCACCCTACCCCCGGGGGTCATGTTTTGAACAAATTTAAATCTACAGTATCTGACAATGATTCTACATGAGTTTCATCTCTCCTGACCCATTGGTTATTGAGAAGAAGATTTTTCAATGATGCCATTAATTTTTCACTCTTTCGTAATTATCTCCCCTTGGAGGAGGCGTGACCCTTCATTTGAACAAAATTGAATCCCCTTCACCCAAGGATACTCTGTGCCAAGTTTGGTAAGAATTGGCCTAATAGTTCTGGAGAAGAAGATGAAAATGTGAAAAGTTTACGACAACAATGTCGACGCCAACGACGACGACGCCGCCGACGACAGACAACGGACAAATTTCGATCAGAAAAACTCACTTGAGCCTTCGGCTCAGGTGAGCTAAAAAGGTCTTGTCACAAGGATTACATATGTGAAGTATGAAAGCCCTAGCTCCAACCATTCAAAAGTTATGGCCAAGGTTAAAGTTTTTCAAAAGTAGTCAAACTCCAAGGTCAAGGTCAAAGTTGTTGATATCCAAAGAAAGGCCTTGTCACAAAGAATACACATGTGAAGTTTGAAACCCCAAACACCAACTGTTCAGAAGTTATGACCAAGGTTAAAGCCTCATAAAATTTTGCAAAAGTGGGGCAAACTCCAAGGTCAAGGTCAAAAGGTCAAATATGATGGTATCCAAAGAAAGGTCTTGTCACAAAAAATACACATGTGAAATATGAAAGTCATAGCTTCAACCAATCAAAAGTTATGGGTAAGGTTAAAGTTGACAACAGACAGACAGACAAACAGACAAACGGACAAACAGACAAACAGACAGACAGGATAAAAACAATATACCCCCGGGATCTTTCGATCCAGGGGCATAAGAAAACTTCTACATGATTAAAAAACTCATGCTTTGGCCTTCCATTAGACATTTAGACAACTATATCGACGACGTTTTATCAAATAACGAAATTCATTTTCATTTCTACTTTGATTCGATATATCCCTTTGAACTCGAAGGACACTATGGCGTCTGACACATCTGTTTCATACTTGGGTATCTTACTATTCTTTTATGGAGCAATATACCATTATCACCTGTATTATGGCGTTTATATCTCCCAGTTGAGTCGATACGCTAAAACATATTTTACTTAGGAATAATTTCTAAAACTAGGCAAGCTATTGACAAATAAGTTTATGATCTCAGGGTATCAGCGGTTTCGTTTAGTCAAAATTTTGCCAATTCTATCGTCGATAAAATGACCTTGTTAGCTTATACAATCTTTGGCTAACATATTGTTAAAGGGGCTGGGACACAGATTTGAAGCTCATTTTCCTTAAATTTTCTACATAATCTCATGACTTACATGTTGCTAGAGCATTTCACACCGAGATATAGTAAAAGCATGTTTAGAAACTTCTTTTATCTAAGAGTTATTAAAACTACGAATTTCAAGACGCGTTTGGTAGACACATTTTTTTGCATTTTCAAAATGTACACTTTTATCCATAATGCTTAAGAAATGTAGAAATTTTATTGTGTATTAATGAAAAACATGAATTTAACTATCAGTCGCGACCATCACCTTTATTTTGATGGTCACGGCCATCAAAATAAAGGAGCTAGTGGAAGGTTTGATTTTAATCAGACTGGAAAACTAAAAACCAGAAAGTTCTGAGTAGATATGCGAGAAAGCAAAACCAACTAACGAGTATAGTACCTGATCCCACCTCTAATGTTTTTAGGCGTTCGTGTTCGATTTGCTCCAAATTTGTATTGTTTCAATAGACTTTTGAGCTTGATTACTCTTCGTTATCTTCATAATTCACTTCATATTTCATTATTCAAAATATTCTGAATGTAAGTAAAGTATAAACTTTAACTGATTCGAAAAGACTTTTGACTCTCATCGTATAACAATTTGACGTTTTAACATTACTGAATACAACGTCTAAAATGCTTACAAGTGTCGAAGACCGACCCTTCTTGGACACACTTCAATGATCTTTCACTGACCACATAATGTTCCGGGCATGTAATAATAAATTCTCTCTTGTCCACACACAGGTGATACTTTGTACAATCATCTGGGTCTTTCCGCCGTATTGGATTCTCTGCAAATTCTGGACAAAGTTTACGGGAATAAACAGAAATGAAAAACACTGTCCATAAACATAGGATGATTTTTGTCAGCATGGTTTTATGAAACAATATTCCCTTTGGACACATAAGAAAGCACACAATATTTGTGGTGGCGAAGGTTTGTCAACGAAATAATGATCACAGCTTTGAAAGTCTAACCATTACAAGCTGAGGTTAAAAATTCTTTTGAAATCAGCTAAAAGTGAAAGAAACAAAATTCTGCCAAACGTTTCCATTCATATCTATGTATGTCTATTTATATGTATGGTTAATGCACTAATGGAAGTTAAACAAAGGATGCACTACAAAATTTCCTGCAATGTCAAAAACTTTGCAATTAACATTCATTATTACAGAAAAAGCGTGTTCTACAAGCGACGGTGACAGAACCTTAACTAATTTACTGACGTAGTGAATATTTACACTGTTAGGCATTTCTTTCCTCTTTAATTGAAATTTACACACATCATTACATAACACTTTATCTGCATATTAGTCAATATTTTGCAATTTAGCATCAGAATTTTTATTGGGGAAAATTTTATTTTAATCTGTGATTCAGCAATGATATTTATCATAATGAATACAAAAGATATACCAAGAGAGCCACCAATAAACAATCTAAAGACACAAATTTGGCGAGGAGCCGCGAGCATACGCAAAATATTGTGTAGCGCTGTGTAGCACTCATGTCTTGATAACACTACCTGCTAAAACAAATAAAAAAAATAAGGCCATCATTAAAAATATCTTTGTTTCCCCTAATCCGATCCTAAAATCTCGAGTTTGGTAGGTAGGCAGGTAAATATTTTTTTTTTCTACGAGCAGCTTTGAAAATAAATTCTGAAATTCAATGGACTTAATACCTTTATTTATAAGAAAAAGTACAGAAGAAAGCGACTTGTAAACAGAATATCATACAAATACCATTTAAAACCAAAATTTCAGGTAAATTAATAAACAACTATATTCAGTTGAACTAGTGAAATATCTCGAGCCATGCAAAGTAAATTCTTTGAAATCGAATTAGGAATATTTGATAAATACAGACAATATTTTCAGAAACGGAAAACCGGACATCCGAGTATACGTATCAGTTTTCAAACCAGTGCTTACACATGCAGCGTACTTTTTCAAGGGCTCGAATTATGCAGCGGTTCTAGAATATTTCGTTTTGGAGTTCCGAAGCAAGGAGCTCTAGTTCTAAGTCACAGGTTCAAATCCCAATGCGGGACGTTGTGACCGGTTCTTCGAATGAGAGCGTAAAACGTAGGTCTAGTGTCGCAGTAGATGCTAGCACGAAAATGATCCCTCACTGCTCAATGGCCAAAAGTATTGATTACAAGACTAAATTTGGAGACCTTCACCGGGCAAATGTTCAAATCATAAATGTTTTCATTCCAACAATTCTAAAAGTGATTTAAAATCAAAGAAACAACCAATCTTCAAGGGCCTAATTAGAACAAATACACTGCATGTCTCAGAAAGTTGTATCATGATTTCAAAACTATTTGGAAAGAGTGTGTAAACAATACTTAATTGAACCAAACCATATCTAAATTTTATAAAAATGCCATACACAATGTCAAAATCACGACGTTTAACCCCTGAATAAAAGGCATTTGGAAAGGACGTCTGAATTATTTTCACAGGATGAAATATGCAGGCATATTTACAACAACTCCTATGGTCCAGTATAATAAACATAGGAACATAGATGAACTGTTTATAAGATCAAAACTCAAATTAAATAATATGTAGCGAAATTGATTAATATGTTCAAAAGGTGCAGAGGTGGGCCCCTCGTATGCTCATGAGGCGGGCTTCACGATGCTTACTGGTACGTACGTACCTTTATTTTAAAAGGTTTGTAAAAAGCACCGAAACACTCTTAGTCATCTTAATTATTATTACCGAATAGTTTCAAGAGTGTGGGATTCTAATAAGCTAAAGGCATAAGGTTAATACGTCGCCGTTGATTAATAACAGGAACTGTGACCACATGTTGTGGACACCATTTTGTTTCCAACAAACGCTTGAAAATCACAATTTAGAACAAAATCTGCCGTTCTGATAAAAACGGATTTTAATGAAATTGTATCTAAAAGTTGATTAACATTAAAAAAAAAATATTTGAATTATCTTATTATAAAAACTTTTCAGTCGGCGCAATTTTATTGGGTCGGTCGCGTTAGGGGAAACAAAGGTATTTTTTATTTTGGCCTAAAGGTTTTTTTTTCTTTTTTTTTCTTTTCTTTTATACAAATAATTCAACCAGAGTTTTAAAAAGGTCTTGGGCGATCATCAATTACGGCACTGCATGATGCTATTCAACCTGTAAATGACACTTTATGTAATTTTATATTGGAGAAGCAACAACACATTTTTTTTTCATAGAATCGTTTAAGAAGAGAGAGAGAGTTTTATTTCTAGAATGTTGGATGTGATGATAGAGAACCAACTGACAAATGAAGTGATGTTATAGGGCTTTCACCAATCTCGTTTTACGTTAGAATTTCGAAAATTCTATTATGTTATAAAGGCAGTGTTTGCTATAATAGCCTATCGTGGAGTCCTATTTTGCCTGGCATGTTTCATTCCAATTGTTTGTAAACTAGGTTTGGTTACGGATTACTCCATTTTGCCGATCAATACCAGAGGCTCATGATGGGTGGACAGGGAAAGCTTACTCTGCATATGCACCTGACCCCGCCTCTGACATTTCTAGGGGTTCGTATACGTATTTTGCATTGTTAACTATTAGTATTGTCTACAAGCTTTATGACATTGAACACTGTTAATTATAAAAACCTTTCTCGTTTCTATAAAATTGGTTTATCAGATATTCAAAGATATTTTTCATAATTTTTTTTGCATTTAAACAGTTTCACCAAATGTTAAATTTCAATTATACTGAGGAGGAAAACGATTTATAGAAGCTTGATTTATATCCTTAAAAGAACAGAATCAATCTATTGTGAGAGAGTTATATAAATAATAAGTATATAATAACATTATTGTCTTTAAAGTACTGTTAAAATAGAATGATATTAACGTTGGTCATTGTGAAGGCTAATAATAGACTGAAAAGTAGATCGACTCCTGACAAACAAATTAAATTCAACATATGTACAAAATACTCCTACAAAAGAAACCTTTTAGTCTAAAGTAATGAATCTGAGGAGAATTGTTATATTAACCTTTTATTTATAACTTAACATTAAGTTGAAATTAATTTATTGCTGATAAAAAAATTTACAGGACTAAAAAAAACTAAACAGTGAAAAATAAAGTGATATTTAATACTACCAATTTAGTAAAAATTCTATACATAAAAATAAATGAAAAAACAAAAACAAAACAAACACGTGACCAGATTTTTTTTGTATTTTCAAATATTTGAGAAAAACGTCTGGAAAGAAAACTGACACTTAATACGAAATATACACTACACACAGGTAAACGTAGGCTTCGATCTGTAAGAACCTATTTATTTCTAGATTCTCTTCTTAATAATCAAAAAATAAAATATTTCGATATTAATTAACGATTTTCACAATTTTATTTTTATCAAAGAAAGCAAAAGAAAAAAATAACAGGAATATGAACATACTGCTTTTGAAGTTGAAAAAAATTTAAAAGTTGAACTTTGATTATTACACCTTCCACACCGCTACATTATTACTTGTCGAGAAGAATCGATAGAAATTGCCTTCATTAAAAAAAAATATCAATAAAAATTATCAATGAAATATATGGAGATAACGAACAGTATTCAAGCTCAAAAGTCCATTAAACAATACAAAATAGGAGCAGAGCAAACACGGACCTCCAAACATCAGAGGTGGGATCAGGTGCCATGGAGGAGTGAGCATCCCCTGCCGACCGGTCACACCCGCCTTGTGCTCCTTGTCATGATCGGGAAATAACGGAAAAATCCGTTGACAATTCAGTGTGTAAATAATGGCCAAACAATTAGTATGAAAAATGTCAGTCAGCATTTGACTCAATGATAAATTGTATTTGCTGACAAGGTCATTGTATCGACCATAGAACTTACGAAATTATGATGACTCAAATGATATACAGAATGGTCATTTGTTAACATCTAAATACTTGTACGTAAGAAAAGGTCGCATTGTGCATGGATAAGACGGCTTTGGTCAGTTTAGTGTATCTCATAAAGATACTTTATCATTACTTCCTTTGTGATGAAGTTTCATCTTAACTGACTAATGTTTTGGCCAATTAACTGACTAACCTTATTTTGCTTTTTGTTATTGAATGGGAGTTTTCGATAAATAAACAAGAGCTTCACAAAATGAGGTAAAGCACTTTTGCAATTGTAACGAAAAGTGGTCTTTGTTAGTACTCGTTCATAATCATACGTATTCCATCCAAGAAAATGGTAAATGGATAGATTAGAACAATTGTCATTTAATTAATCATTTGACATTATATTTTTATTTCCTGAACATGCTTTGTGGTGAAGAAAGGTGTCGGCTTGTGAAGGCAGGTCATCAATCATTCCTCCTACAACATTTGTATTGGTACAGAAAATCATTGTTTTTACAAACATTGCACTTTAACTGAGAAAATTTGAATAAGAATAACTATTGAAAAAGGTTCATGACTTTCAAATAATAAACAACTAAAAATCTTGAAAATCACTTCTAATTTTAGATTCTGCCGAAACCGAAAAAATACGATTTATTTTTTGTCTTCAAATAGTTACCAAAAATAACTCATATTTCCTGTATTCTTTTTGGTCTGATTAAAAGATAACTCCTTTTACAATCAATATATTATTTTCAAGGACAATGGATACATAAGTGCGATATTTCAAGCAGTCTTCCCTGTGGTTAGTCTGCAGATGATAATTTATAAACTATCTGTACAGAAATAAAAAGAAAAGTTATTCATTTAATGCAGAGAATGCAGACTTGATTTTTTTTCACGACTTTTTATTAAATACGTGTACAATTAGATAATTCATTATAAACCACAGTAATATATTAGGTTTCTTTAACCACAGTCTGATAGACTACCTCTAGTAGGTGTGAAGTCTTGAAGCATGATGTGTGTAGGCACGTCCACGTATAATAAATACACACAGGGAAAGCACTGATATCTCAAAATGATGAGGGAACTTGTAGAATAGAACTAAGGGATATTCTTTTAAATATATACATATTTTTTTTAAATATTTTACTTTCGTGTAATATTTCTACATTCGTTTTCATTTAAGTGTAAGATATGGAGAGACTTTTAGCCGTAATTTATTTTTCACTTTTATTTATTAAAATCGTGTCCTCTCATCCAATGTGCAACAGATCATTACTTGGGAAATACTTTTTATCTCATCCGAAGGATTGTGCAATGTACTACGTTTGTTTTAATGGACGGAAATTTTTGATGAAGTGCGAGGATAATGAAGTTTTTCATGTGAAGTCAGGGTCATGTGTTCAAAGAGGGTCAGAATTTGATTCCTGTAAGTAAATTAATCAACCAATATTTAACATTGTCGGTGTTGAAGTTGGTACATCAACACTATACAGATGTCAGATCAGGTTTATTAATTAATTCATGCATCATAAATTGAAATCTTTTGCATTCATTTAAATACAATGACAAAATAAAAGCATATCCGGATCGTGATCAATACATGTTTACTTGATATTAATTTCTATTGCAATTCATGCATTTATATGTGCAACTAAATTCTTAGCTTGAATTTTGTCTCTTGAAAACCTGCTGTAGATTTGTTTTGTTTTACCAGGTTCTCAGAAGGACAACACAGAGGATTCAGAATGCTCACCTCACTACACTGGCTTACTTGCTCATTTGAAGAACTGCGCCAAGTATTTGGATTGTTCTTCCAAGTCAAGTAATAGACCCAGAATTCGAGAATGCCCATATCCATATCTCTTTGATTCCGTCGCCATGGCTTGTAGATATTTTACGGAAGTTGACTGCGGAGATAGACAGGAACCAAAAAATCCATGTATTCTTCTGTTGTTAAATAACATTGGATTGGAATTCTAAAATTGTTGAAATGTAAATTATTCATCACTTTTGGTTTTGGTCAATGACAAGTATACTGTACAGTAAAGATACATTGTTATTTCTTAATATATTATGACCTAAACGTTCAGATCACCGCATTGTAGGTCAAAATGCGTAAACGTTTAACTGATCTACCTTCTTTTGTTAAAAGTATTATTATTCAAAATTTATTTTTCAGGCGACTATGATGTGAAACCTTGTAATGGTGATAACTGTACCCCGTGTCGCTCTCATTATCCGAGCTGTGTACATTACCCTGATGGCCTGAACCCATGGAGGGGGCGGGAGTGGACACCCCATTTCATATTGTGCACCAGGGAGAGAGTTCTTTTTCATGGATTGTGTTCACATTCACAAATTTTTCATCCAAGAAAGTTAAAATGTTTCGATCCAAATACACACAGAACGAACAGCAATACAAAAATATGAAAAATGATACATTTGATATTTTAAAAAATACTATATATTAATTAAATTATATATTTATTTATTACAATTAGTTCGTATTTTGATACGTCATATGGTGTCTTATAGATTTAACTATTAGACTTCACTCTCTTTTTATTTGCTTTTGCAAATTCTGCTTGAATGATTTTCATTCAATTCTTTTTTATCACGCTTGTAAACCATTAAACAAAAGATATTTGATACATTAATGTTTTTGTACTTTTCATATTTTATAACATAGTGATATTCTTGTCTTTTTATGATTTTAATAATTGATGCAATTCTTTGTGATATATTGTTTTATTTTTTGTTTATTTGTGAACAACAATATAGTTTCATAATTAGTAAACGTTGTGATAAATTCAGCATGCTTTCTTATATACTTCAAATGTCTTTTATCTTTAAATATATGTACAAAGCTCTCACTTACTTCTATTAAATATTTAAAGTAAAGGTTTGTCAATCCGGACGCTTGTCTTCCCGACCAAATTCGTCCGGTTAAATTAAGTGTCCGGATTACCGGAACGTATCCTTCAAAGTTTTGTATCTTTTTCCTACAAAAAAGCTAGAGCTATATCTTTATTTTTTTTCAGGTTATTTCAATCTATATATGTAGAAGTTCATTCTCACAATACAGATACACCATCGGAAGATGAATTATTGTATTTCATTGTGATGAATATATGAAGTTAATATACTGCTCCATATCTCCTGAAAATGCAGTAATCTTTTAAGTTATAACCCCTTCTCTCTTTCTCTTATCTGTTATAACTTCTTCCAAATTACATCCCTTTTGAAAGGAAGTGGTACAAGTATTTGAATAAAAAATAGAAATAAAACGCACGGTAAAATTACTTATTTCGTAGTATTCATAGATCAGGAATTAATACACAATCTTGAAACAGCTCACTATCAATATTTCTGTGTATTATTCTTAGAATCCTTCTTTCGGAACGATAATTAATTACCCCAAAAAATATTTTATCGATAAAGGCGTCAAGAAGAGGTACCCATGAAGATCACATACAGTAAATAATCTAAAGTTGTATCGAATACTAGGAAAAAAAGATTTCTTTTGATAAAAGGATATAACACGACTCAAAGAGACCTTAAATTTAGGCGCCAGCTAGAACCTGGGCAAAAAATATAATAATGACATTGTTTGCAAATACAACCTATCATTGGGTTGTATTTTGACTGACATATTCCATATTAATTGTTATGCTATTGTCTTATACTAAATTTGACTACGGATTATTCCGTCTACCTGATCAATAGATATACATAGGGCTGACAGCGGGTTTGATCGGTCGAGAGGGGATGCTTACTCTTCCTAGGCTTCTGATTCGAACTCTGAAATTTCCAGGGGGTGTTTAATGCCCTGTTAATTGATTTGTATTGGTTGTAGGTTTTTTGAGATCGATCATTGTTTGTTATGTTCGCCTATTTCTGATTAAGAGATAAAACATATTGCAATTTATACATTATTCACAAGAAAAATGGATAAGTGCGATATTTAAAGCAATCTCTGTGGTTAGTATGCAAGTGATAATTTATAAACTATCCGTACAGAAAATTAAAACTAAATTATTTATTTAATGCTGAGAATGCTCACACTTTATTTTATTTATGACTCCTTTTTTATTCGTGTTTAATTAAATAAGTGTCTTTAAACCACTAAAATAAATAAGGAACCTTTAACCACAATCTGGTAGGCTACAAGAAGTAGGTGTGAAGTCTTGAAGCATGATGTGTGTAGGCACGCCCAATAAGTATACAAAGGGAAATCACTACTATCTCAAAATGATCAAGAAACTCATAGAATATAATAAGGGGATTTTTCATTTTATTTTTTAAAATACACTGTATACTTTAATTTTGTGTCATACTAGAATATCAATTTGTTTTTAGTATTTAGTGTAAGATAGGGAGGGACTTTTAGCGGTATTTTATCGTTCAATATATTAAAATCGCTTGCTTACATTCAATGTGCAACAGAAGATTATTACTTAGCAATGGCATCTATTTCCAAATGTTCTGCTAAAAACTGTAAAACATGTGATGTTTAGATTACAAACTGTCTTTTACTAGCAATTTGACAGGGCATAGCTTTTATACCAAGACAGGGGAAAATCTGAACTGCAAATCTGCAAATGTTGTCTACGGAATAGAATGTAACCTTTGTGGAATTATTTATGTTGGTGAACCCAAGGGTTCACTTCATAAAAGAATAGCGGGTCATAGATTTCAAATAAACAACGGGGACAAGCAGCTTCTCTACAAGCAATTTAATTTACCTGATCATTTTATTTTATCAATGAAAGTTAGAATTCTAGAAAAGATTTACCATCATACTAATAGTTAATCACTGAGTACACCTTTCCGTAGACAAGGAGAAGAAAACTGGATTAGGAAACTAGGTACAGCCTTTCCATATGGAAGCAATGACAATGTCGATAGTATTGGGAATCTTTCAAGTCCACAGTGTAGCAATGTGAATGTGATGGGACTTTTTAATAATACTCAGAGACGTAAGAGTAGTCATGGACATCAGTCATACAATAAACCTATTATACACGATGTTTCTTTTGATTAACTACCACCTTATGTAAATAAACATTTAGGTCTCCATTACATTCGCAAAAAACTTTACTCTCTCCCTTTGAAAGTTCTATATGGTTTATTTGAAAAGGTCAAGAAAAGTCCATATTTGAATTCTTCGACACCAGAAAACAGGCTTGAATCTGTGATTATGTCGTTTGAAGTCATTTTTTCGCAAGTTTTTCTGTCGATACAATGAACTTATCAGCCAGCACATACATGTACAACCTACAGGTTTTTCATACTAATTGTAAGGCCATTATTTATACACTAAACTGTCTACGGATTTTTCCGGTTTTTGTTTCCTGATCATAACAAGGAGCACATGGCGGGTGTGACCAGTCGGCAGGGGATGCTCACTCCTCCATGGCACCTGATCCCACCTCTAAATTTTGAGGTTCGTGTTTGCTCTACTCTAATTTTCATCGTTTCAATGGACTTTCGAGATTGAATACTGTTCTTCATATTTTACTAACTCAATCCTTTTATCTCATCATGAAGATTGCTCAGTGTACTATGTTTGTTTTAATGGAGGGAAAATTTTGATGAAGTTCGATGATAATAAAGATTTTATGTGGAGTCAGGGACATGTGTTCCAAGTGGGTCAGAGTTAGATTCCTGTTAATAAAATAATTCATGAATTTTATTTTTCTCCTTTCTGTGCTTACTATTTAAATGATTTAATCATAGGAATGATCTAATTGATAATTAATTAATTAATGTCATGTGTTGATTTTAAATTCTAACTGACCAGTTTGTTGTATACAACATTTTTGTTTATGAATAATTTCAAAACACAATTCATACATGTAGCTCTTTCGATTTGAATAACTATATAGCTAGCATTATTTCAAACACTCATGAAAAATGAAATTCTTCCATTTTATTAATATCAATTTTTTATCGCTAGCGTTCTTGGAGTAATTTTAATTTGGAATGTTGACCTGTATATATATCAATTTTAGAATATATATGTTTACTCATCACTTAAACAACAAAATATAAACATTCAGATCGTAATGAATGTAAATCATGATTATTTTTTTTTTTTAATTTTAATTAATGTATGTACATGCGCAGCAAAGTTCTTAGCTTGAGATTTGTATCTTTCATTTTTTTTTTTAACAAGAAAGCAGCTTTATTTTTTTTTTGTTTTATTGGGTTCTCAGAAGGTAGATACAGAAGTTTAAGAATGTTCAGCACACCACATTACCTTACTTCCTCATATGAAGAGCTATAGAAAGTATTTTGGATTGTACTGCAAGGTCACATGAAAGACCGAGAATTCGTGAAATTCCATTTCCATATCTCTGAGATTCCGTCACATTGACCTGTTGATATTTTAACAGAGGTTGACTGCAGGGAACCCAAAAGTCTTTGAATGCTTAATATTGAATTGAATTCAAGAATTTTAGCACGTTAATTATATATCAATTTTCATTCATGTGTAGGGTATTGGTCCATTACAAGAATATTGTACTGAACAGCAAAGATACATATATATCTCTTTATATAATTAACTCGGGCGTACAGGACATTGCATTATGGGTCAGTTCCGTTTATATGCTTATCTTTATACTTTTGATACGTGGATTATCATAAATTTTTTCTTCTTTAGGCGACTATTACTTGATACCTTGCAATGATGATAACTTTATTTTTTGTCGCTCTTATTACCCGAGCTGTATAGATTTACGTGACAGCCTGAACCCTTGGAAGGGCGGGAGTGGACACCAGAGTTTATACTGTGCGCTGTGTAGAGGGTACTTTCTCATGGATTGTGTTCACATTCACAAGTTTTTCATCCAAGAAAGTTAAAATATGTGCATCCAAATACAAACAAAACGAACAACAATCCTAAAGAATGAAAAATGCTAAAAAAAAAAAAAAGAAGATATTTATTAACTACAATTAATTAATCTTTTTAATGCTTCATATGGTAGATTATATTTACATGTACCGGTATGTATTTATAGTTTAAATTATTTGAACATTGACTTATCCTATTTTTATTTTTGTCCCTAATGTAAATAAATTATTGTCTTGAATCATATGGCGATAACCATGGATAAAGTTTATAAAACGAGGGAATCTGTTTTTTGTTAATAATATTGATGTGTATATGTATAGTTCAATATCTTTGTACCTTTTAAAATAGCTTTTTTCTATTTAAAGACGTAATTAACAAAGGAGTCTGTGACAGAAATTCATTCACATAAAAATGTAGTGAAAAAAGTTTTAAGTTTTGTACCAGAATATGGTTTATCACTCCCATACACTAATTCTTTTCTGTTCTCTAATGTTGGCAAATACCTGTAATGATCACAAGATGTGCTGCGTACTTGTAATATTAGTTAGTGAGTGCTTCGAGCAGTTATAACTGAGCTCTTTTATGTTGCTTCTTACAGGTAGTTAAGATGAATTTTTGTAGAGTAAAAAGGGAGAGAAGGTTCCATAACTTATGCTAGTTATAATTAGTTACCTTTTTTTCTCCAACTAGCGTTCAGTAATATTTTTTCAATAGACACTCGGCAAGCCTCATGTCTATTGATAAGATTAACAATGATAAAAGAACTCGAGTTAGTGAGAACCGGTAACTAACTCGCACAAATTATGGAACCTATGAGTCAAAGTTAAAGGCAGTTTTTAATATTATGTATGTAAATTAAATGTATAATCTATCTGCTAACTATGGCAAGACAAACCATTTGTATTCTATAATTTTCCATTTGTATTCTATAATTTTCCATTTGTATTGTATAATTTTTCATTTGTATCGTATAATTTTTCATTTGAATTGTATATTTTTTATTTGTATTCTATATTTTCCATGCGAAGGCATAAAAAGATAAAACTATGTATTTTTAGGCAAAAAACACAAGCCACTGTTTATCTTCTTATTTCAGAGAATTGAACTCGTAGTGTTTTATACCTTGTGATTTGTCATCTACAAAATTACTTTGTTATATATCAATTTAATTCTAGTATTTTAAAGGTGATTTAAATAAATAAAAAAAAAAGATGCTGGACTTTCTCATTAACAGTATTTATGCAGTCTTTGGAGACAAGGTTTTCCAAAAATCTATTGGAATTTTTATGGACACGAATTGTGATGCTTCATTAGCCGAATTATTTTTATAATCTTATGAGTCAGACTTTATTAAGTCTTCATGAGAAGAATTATCAATTCAAAATATTTATTTTCTTTCATATGCAAGATGATATATCTCTGTGAACTCGAGATAAGAAAAACCCCACAAAGATTGCAATATCTGCTTCAAATCTGGATTTACTACTGACCATAGACATAGACATAGGCAAGCTAACAACTAATCTATGAGACAAACGGGATGGATGCCTTCAACATTTTCATCGTCAACTTTTGCTATTTATGTAGCAATACTCCACAATCATCTACACATATTTATGTCTTCCAGCTGATTCGAATGTCAATACATTTTTTGAGTACGATCTAGTTTTAAACAGAGATGGGTTACTGACAAATAAGTTTATATTACAGTTTTTTTATTATCTTTTTTAATCAGCATTTTGCAAATTCTTTGATCGTAATAATGAATTTGTTTGCAAATACAACATACGGTTGGGTCGGGTCGTATTTGGCAGACAGCTTTCCCACAAAATGTTAGGCCATTTATTTCTCAAAATGTCATTTTGACTACTGATTATTCCGTTTACCTCATCAATACAGAAGGCTTACTGCAGATGTGACCTGATCAATATAGACTTGTCGACAGTAGTTGAAAGCGTACTCCTCGTAGTCACATGAGCCCAACTCTGTTTTTTTTTTTTTTTGCAGATGCCGTGTATAAATCATAAAAGAAAAAGAAAATGCACAGTTTCCAAATTTCATTTACTAGCGCTTTCTGGATTTTCATATATCAATCTTCAGTTGTACATACATTTGAACTGATTGTTCTGCTTAGTTACGTTAAATATGACGTCAAGAGAGTCTTTACAGGAAAGGAATTAATCCATGTCATAATCTGTAGTATAACGTAAAAGTTCGGAAAATTGACTTGGACAATAATTTTTGAAGTTTTCAATCTCAATAAACAAGGTAAAAACACATTAATTATACAAAAAGGACATAGTATGTAAGGACAAAGCACTCTATAAAGCCCTAGTTCTTCAACAATTATGTGATGATAATTTCTACGTGAAATTTCCAGAAAATCCTGATAAAACAATTAGGAATCTAAAACAGTTATTTAAAAGCATCAACATTTTTAAAAAGAGGAGTAATTTGTCTACTATATATAGTATTTGACAAACTTTGAAATGAAAACAGGCAAGTTTTATGGGTTACCTAAAATACATAAAAGCAATGAAATCAAGACTACCATAGAGGAACAAAACCAAACATACTATTGATTGATTGTATGTTGTTTAACGTCCCGTTCGAGAATTTTTCACTCATATAGAGACGTCCAAACATATTACTAAAATACCCAAAGCTCTGAGACTAGGACCACTTGTGGCTGGCCCTTCTTGTCCCACTCATATACTGAGTAATTTTATAGATATTCTCTTGCATTGACTGACAATATCTATGCGATTTTTGGAGACCAGGTCTTCCAAGAATCTATTAGAATTCCCATGGGTACCAATTATATTAGCAGACCTATTTTTGTATTCATATGAAGCAGAATTCGTTCAAAATCTTATACGTGGAAAGAAGAAAACACTTGCTGTGGCCTCCCAACTCTACATTTAGATATATCGACGACGTATTGTCAATTAACAATGGTTATTTCCATTCTTATGTCGATACGATATATCCCAGTGAGCTTGAAATAAAAGATACCAGAGTATCCAACACATCTGTTTCATATTTGGATATTTTACTAGAAATAGACGTTAATGATCTAGACGTTAAAATCTAACAACAAAGCTTTATGATAAGCGTGATGACTTTATCTTTTCAATCGTCAACTTCCATTATTTATGCAGCAATATACCTTCATCACCTGCATACGGGGTTTATATCTCTAGTTATTAAAAAACAAGTTGATGAAACAAGAATATCAGCAATTTCGTTTAAAGTCATAATTTTGTAAGTTCTATAGTCGATACAATGACCTTGTCAGCAAATACAATTTATCATTAAGTCAAATGCTGACTGACATTTTTCATAGTAATTGTTGGGCCATTATTTACACACTGAATTGTCGACTGATTTTTCCGTTATTTCCCGATCATGAGAAGGAGCACACGGCGGGTGTGACATGTCGGCAGGGGATGCTCACTCCTCCATGGTACCTGATCCCACCTCTGATGTTTTAGAGGTCCGTGTTTGCTCTGCTCCAAAATTTGTATTGTTTAATGGAGGTTCCGAGCTACATACGAGATAGCATGGATTTTTTAAACAAAATACCTTAAACTGTGGAGCCAAATACACTACTTGTAACCTTTGATGTGAAGAGTCTATATGCCAATATTCCACATGATCTCCGATTAGAGGTTATAAAAGTTTTGGATTGAAAAACATCCAAAATTAATTCAAAGAGATTTTCCATTGAATTTATAATAAATTCAATTAAATTTATGCTGGAGAACAACAGATTTCATCTTGATGGAGATCTTAATAAGCAGATCAATGACACCGCCATGGGAACTAAAATGGCTCCTGCATATAGCATTATGGTTAGGCCATCTTTTGTTAATAATATTTCTTTGCCCTCTCGCGACTCAGAGTAAAAAAAATGGGTAATTAGATAGTTTGGAATTTTTTCCCTAGAAAATGTGAACATACATGTTGATGGGATGAGAAAATTCAGGAATAAAAAAAAATCGTTTCTTGGAGGTTCAAAAAAAGTTATCAGTCTGGTCATTTTAAGCCAGTCGGTCTGGAGAGGGCAAACAAACAATTTTTTAAAATGGCCTTATAGGATTTTTTGAAAGAAACATTATATAAAAAGGTTTTTGAAATAATGGGCCAAGAGATTGGATTGCATCTAAAGGATTCTTGGAAGCGATTTGTAGACGACTGTTTCTTATTTTGAAACAAACCAAAAGAAGATCTACAAAACTTTACAATTTGCTAAATTCAATAAATCCAAATATTCAATTTACTATAAGCACAGTGATTTTTCGATTACTTTCCTTGATGCCATGGTAATAAAACAAGACTCGCATATCCTCACTGATATTTTTTTTAAATATAAAATCCACGGATAAACACCAGTACCTAAATTTGACTTCGTTCCATCCTACCAACACCAAAACGAACATCACTTACACCTTAGACAGTTTAATTTGTAAGATTTTAAAAGATGCAAATACCAGAAATCAAAGATTGACGGAACTAAAAAAAATTCTCCTTGCACAATTTTATCCAGAAAATCTTTCTGTCATAGAAGAAGCCAAGAAAATTCCAGAACACATCTTAAGAACGACCAGAAAAAGGGACATAGATCCTTTCCTCATCCAATTTGATACAACATATATATCTCTATATATCGGACTATTTTTTAAAACAATATTAAAAAAGTCAGTATCAATCAGTCAACTAATACTGATAGATAATATTGTACTGTGTTTTCATCATATTCTGTAAATAATCAATTTTGGCATTGTTTCCATGGTTGAGTCTAACCACAAAATTATACTCTGTTGGTATAACGAACTTCAAATTTTTACTAATAATTAAATAGAACGAGGCAGTTTCTCCACGAATTTATATTTGAACAAAATTCGATCGATCGATCGATCGAGAGTTAATTATCTCCTACCACCCTCAATTTGAAATAATTTTTGCAACTTAAGGACATACATAACGTACCTTAACTACTGAAAACTTTCCAAGATATTCTTAATTTAAGATTATTGTGCCATCAGATGTTCGTAGACAAAATATCAGCATGCATTACCAAGGGTCTTGACAAGATATCAATTGATGAAAATTCTTGTATAATTCAAAGAAAAATATGCAAAAATTACTAAACATATATTCTAGATGTGAGAAGAAGTGTACAACAGAATATATATACAGATCAAAATGTTGCACACAGTTCCTTAAAGTATTGGAACTCTTCAACCCCAGGGAAAATGACAATAAAGTTCAAAGTATGTTGCGTATGTCCTTAAAGTTATAAAGATTGAAACAAAAGAAAGAATATTTTTGATTTAATTATATCGAACACACGACACACGACACACTAGCTCCATTCTCATATGGAGGGCAAGGGAGAGATCCACATATGGTTTTCACGGGGTAAAACAACCTTCCATTATCGTCACGTCTGGATCCTTCTATAGAATCTGGATCATCATCAAGACAGAGATACTCTGTGCTCTGATAAATGTGCCTATCTGATGAATATTGTTTCTGCCAGAATGGTGGACATGAGCGTTTTCCGGGGATCATGATGGAGGAAGACGCCATCTTGACTCTACACACGGCGCAAGGAACATCCTCTGATATGCGCACACGCTGCATGGTCATTTGGTACTCGGCGCCATAGAGGTAACCATAGTCATCGCTGGCTGGGACAGAAACTGACAAGCTCTGGGGTAGGTTTTCTGGATCATGTGGTAGGCACAAAGTGTTCACACCATCCCCGGTATCCGAGTATTGTTTTCCTGCAGTTATCCCTGAATAGAATATCAACGCTCTGTACTATTCTAAAGGAATCATATTAGAATCCTATGAAAGGTTGACGTTTACGAGCTCATTGAAATGAATTCCGAAATCACCTTTTTATTTATAATGAAATCGTTTTAATAATTGAATTGGAATAAAATGTTGCTTATAATTAATTTGAAAGTTTGTTCAATGGCTCAGTGTTTCCATATACAAAATTAAGATTGAAATGATTACCTTCATAAACAACCTCCGTTCCGTTCACTTTTGGACAAGTTTTCTTTCCCCAAATAATGAAGGTAGCACCTAAATTAAGTAATATTAAACTGATTAAATGAATTCAGCCTGGGAAATTGGTTTTATGAATCAATCAAAAATGGTTATATGGTTAATGAAAAAGAATATAAAATATTCATTTGTGGATCATTATCAATTTGTATGTAAGATTGTTTTCCATATTTACGTGGACAATGACGTCTTTGTCAAACTAAATGGTCCTAGATTTACTTATTGTATGCAAAAATATTTGTTATGAAAATCAAAATCAGAATAGTTCAATTTTGGTTGTTTGAATTTAATATTTTTGTAAAAATCGAATGGATTAGTATTGTGTATTGTTTCAATTTTATACTCTTTCAAATCATAGTCTATATCAAAATAATATCGTAAACATTTGACAGTGTGGTCATTATTAAGAAAATTATAGCATATGTCTACGAACTCTGTAGACAATCCTCGTACATACTTACTTCAAGCTTGCGAGTAAAGAGAGTTTGCCTTAATTTGAAAGTTTGCTTAATTTCCATGTTCACAATAAACTATTTTAGATTTCTTCTCATGATGATTTTCATTTTCTAAAAAATTATAACCAAAAGTTTCAACCTTAACAAGATCTAAAAATGTTTGGAACATCAGCAAGTAATTGAATAGTCAAATGAATATCGTAAGAGTGTAAGTGATAAGGAAGATTACTAGAGTGTTCAAAGGAACGCATGTGTCGCCTGCTATAGCATAATCAAAGATGATAAATAAATATAAGAGTTATCAGCTACTGTAGGTTCCTTATTTTACGCGAGTACTTAATATTGCTAATTGATTCAATTACGCCAAATCAAAGATTATGAATTCGCTATTGCATGTTTACTATATTCAAGCACTATAAATATAAGAGCGAGTAATTTTAGTAGTCCCCTACCGGTGAAACCGGAGGGGACTATAGGTTTCCTCTGAGTCTGTCCGTCCGTCTGTCTGTCTATCTGTCTGTCCCTCTGTCTGTCTGTCTGTTTGTCCCACTTGGTTTTCCGCACTTTTTCCCTAAACGCTTGCAGATATTGAGCTGATTTTTTGTATGTAAATGTATCTTGATGAGTTACAGATCAAGTTTCCATTTCGTTCCGCTTCATTGATTTTTTGAAGGAATTACGGCCTTTTCAATTTTCAAGGGTTTTCCGCAATTTTCTTCTAAACGCTTTCAGATATTAAGCTGATTTTTGGTATGTGACTTTACCTTGATTAGTTATAGATCGAGTTTGCATTTCGTTCCGCTTCATTGATTTTTGACGGAATTATGGCATTTTCAATTCTTAACAGGAACCAGATTACACTTGCCAGTAGGGGACTAGTATTGCTAATGCAATATTCTCAGAAAGCTTGTTTCGAGAGTGATGCATCACGCGAAATTACACGATTATTAATTCTTCGCGTATATTAAAGAATTTACAATATGTATTTGTTACTAGTATTATAGTTTTTGTCTGCAAAGAAAAAAAACATATCCAAAAAAACCCATAAATACTGGGTACATGTACGTTTGAATAGTATTTATCATAATAATGACAATCAGAGAAATGTTATTCCTAATCCTAAAAGCTGAAATGAATCGTGAAATTGAAATTTTTAGAAATAACTATTTAAATGTTATCCATACGTGTTTAATTGACCAATCCCTCAGATTAGTAACTAGAAAGATATTTCAGTGTCTTTACTGCAAAAGTCAGTCTACAAATTGTTGAAGTACGATCCATTTTGGGATACCATTTCAATATATTTACATTTGCTGTGTTTTTCTACTAAGCCAACTTTGAAATTGATTTGAAAGTCATTTTTGTGTATACTCACAAAAAACATTTTCGAAACATTTTATTCACTTTATGGCCTCACATGAGGCATAGAAGTACAAAAGAAATAAATCAACAATGAAAAGGTAACAAATGAACAAAGGCTTAACATATATACAATATTAATTTAGAGGTATTGGAAGGAATTTCAAGAGTGAAATAAAGACATTACAATCTTACAAAATTTAGCCAAGCCAATTAAATTAAATTTATCATCACTGTTAAACAGGTTAGCAAAATTATTGATATTTTTTACTTTGTGAACTTTTTCAGGTATGTACTTTCTTCTTTCATCATTGAAAAAAAATTAATTAAAAATATAGTGAAATTCATCCCCAATTTCTCCAACACTACAGAGATCACATAATCTATCTGCTCTATCTATATTTAAAACCCTTCCACATTCAATAGGTAATCTGTGACTAACATATCGAAATTTGCTTAAACTATAAACAAGATCAAAGGGTAACAAGAAAGATATTTCTCTAGACCAAAGTTTGTTTTGTAGATCCTATAATTAACACATTTAGGAGAATTAAAAATATTTAACTTCCAGTCTGATATAATTTTTTTTTTACATTGGTCTTTAACCATTTTAGATAAACAAACATTTTTTGAACAAATTAATCATTCCAATAATTTCCGCGTAGAAATATACACGGTGAACTCGCGCTAAAGTGACGTCACAATGAGGCTACAGAGACGTAAATAAAAATGTAACGATATAGGAGAGCAAGTAATTCAAACATTAAGTATATTTTTGGTGCTTTTGAACATGTAAAATGTAAATATAAGGAATGTTTTTATGTTTTGTGTGAATTATTGGTGTGTAAATCACACAGACTTGCACGTAGGCATATTTCATGAAGCGCGCAAGTCTGTGTGATTTACACACCAATAACTCACACAAAACTTAAAAACATTCCTTAGTATTTTCATCGTTAATAAAGTTCAGTTTAAAATTTGGCACACTTATAGTCATAAACATTTTCTATAAATAGCAGATGTTACTTGATGCTTCATGTTTGTGAAATCACAATGTGAAAATGACGTCAATAGGTAGATGACTTGTTACAAAAAATGGTTGACTCCGTCGTAAGAGCAAGGAACGGTTGTAAAGTTTAATGTTTATCCTGGAAATTCCTTTGCAGTAGCATTTGAGAATTTGTACAAGGTTTATGAAGACAAAAGACTTGCCAAAATGGATAGATGGTTTTAGTGAAGGAAGGGAGATAATTAAAATTGATATTCGTTCTGCAGCTAGTGCCCAGTGAAAGTAAGGTGGGAAAGAGATGCGGCTTTAGTTGAGCAATTTGTCATGAAAGATCGGCAAGATAAGTTAAAAAATAGTTGAATATCGTAACAATTATATAATCATTAAATCCCTAAAATATCATTTACTTTAGACTTTTAAACATATCAGATATGATAAAGAGAAGGCGCCCATACTAGATCCACATTGAATAAATGACGTACCCAAGATAGAGGAGTCGGGTTGTTATGGTCACCATGCTCACTCTGGGAAAGGATATTCTTATCCACCCATCTTATTGCCGAGATTTGCCCATTTGTGACAAATGAACTATACTTGTTATAAAAAAATAACCTGCATGATAAGAAATATAAGACAAGGAAAAAATCTTTTACTTCTGTGAACAATACGCTACGGAGCATGTCACTTGACAGCCTGGACCACGTAATTCATACATGGACAGAACAGTGACAGATGTGCATTAAAAGTGGAGGATACTACTTTCAAAAATAATAAACACTGAAATCTTATTTTATTTCTTTTATGGAAGTTATTCAATTAGTTCGCGAACATTTTGATCACCCCTCGCATACTGTATATCAGCGTTATGAACTTCTTTGAATAGTGGGTAAAAAATCAAGTTATAATAGGGTCATGAGGTCGGTATCCATGATATTTTACAAAAGCCAAGCAATACAAGACCAAAAGATCAAGTCCATACCTATCAAATTTCTACCATATATGGTGTTAAAGACGGACAGTCAGACAGAGATACAGACAGACGCCGGATAAAGTGACCACTGCTTTGCAGGCGACACAAAAATTCAGATTTGAAAAGTCAATCTTATTTCAGAAAGTTTTTTTTATTTGTTTCCTTAAAAAACAGCTTATGTCAAAATGATAAACACATGTCAATTAGATGTAAAGAAATGAAAATTACGCTTGTTACCCTACCACTATAACACTATAGACAGGCAGTGAATTCATTGACCTAAAAAATTGACATCGATGACTAAGTTGCGAAAGAAATTTTGTCGTAGAAATGTTTTAATTCCTATGATGTAATTGTATTTGGTCAAATCAACCAAAAAAATGTAGGTCATACAATAAATATTATATTTTATTTACATTTTAAATCATATTTCAAGAACACTTACTCTGAGTGCCTGACTGTTTTGTTAGAACGGAAACTTGGTTCCTCAAGGATGACAATTCCTGATTTTGACTTGCCAGATGAGACTTTATTGAGTTCAGTTCCTGTGTCAAATGTTCGATTTGGGATTTCAAAACCTGTGGATCACCCAGGAGGAGTCGATCCTATCTATCTACTTCCAGACATGATAACTCTCCAGATAGACATGCAATCAGTATCAAAATGAAACTGTTGTTCGTTAAAACCATGGTGGAAGTGTGCACAATAAATGCTTGATAATTCAACAGGAGATAAGGACAGTATTTTTCTTATCTTAACTACATGTATGCACAGAAATATAGGGTTTTCTTTATAGTAGGAACATTTATGATCCCAACTTGTATACATTGAGGTTCATTACATAAATGATATATTCAGAAACATGGCCTACATGCCGCAACCGATTCTTTATTACAAGCAAGATTTCATTGTAAGAATAAATAAATTAAATACAATATACAATGCCTACGGATTTTTGTCACGCATAAAACTTATCTGACTCATTCACTAGTTTCAACTTAACATCTAGATTTATCAAATAAAAATAGCTATTTCCATTCATATGTCGACTGGATATATCCCTGTGAACTAGAAATAAAAGACGTCACAGAATCTGTCACATCTGTCATATTTGGATTATTTCCTGACTATAGATGATAACAGCTAACTAACAACTAAACTGTATGACACTAGACACATGTAACTTTAGTTTTTCCATTTTCAACTTTCCTGACTTATGTGGTAATATAACGCTATCACCTGCATATGGTGTTCATTTCTCCCAACTTATTCGATACGCAAGATCATGCTCGGATTATGATCAATTTTTAAACCGAGTCAAGTTGATGTTACAGGGATTTCAATATACTCACTAAAGTCAGCATTTCGAAAATTCTATGGTCGTTATAATGACTTTGTTTGCAGAAACAACCTAACATTGGGTCGTATTTTGATCGACATATTTCATACCAATTGTTAGGCCATTGTTTTTACACTAAATTTGACTACAGATTATTTCTTCTACCTGATCAATATAGAGGACGGCGTCATGGGATGCATACTCATCTTAGGCACCTGATCCGACCTCTGGAATTTCAAGGTGTCCTTGTGTTATACCCAGCTCACAAAGGATAACTGCAATTAAGGACATGCAAAATTTGCAGCAGAATTTCAAAAAGAGCATTTTTCTTTTAATTGCAAGAATGGTCAACATTTTACTAAATTCCGTCAAGTGACGTGAAAAGTAAAATGCTTAATGCTAACTATGACTTTGCGTTCGAACACGTTAAATTGATTAAACATTGATTAAAACTCCTCTGTAAGTCTAATTTTAGACCCATTTTAACAAGGTTAGCTCCACCTCTTATAGATCTTTTTATCAACCAAATGTTCAATCAAGTGCAGGTAAGTGCAAATTTTCTATATTTGGAAAACTGTAATGACAAAAAAAATATTTTATTGTATCACAGTCTAAAACCATTTAAACATTTAAATTTGGTTCCAAATTGACAAGATTCTTTCATAACTAAACAGAGGTGAAACTAGGTTAAGATATAAAAGCAAAAGAAGCGACCGAAATTTTGGTTTTAAATACAGTTATTCTTTGTGTTGTTTGAGATTTTTTAAGATCAATCACTATTCTTTATTTCAACTTTTTCATACTCAAATATTTGAAAGATTTCAGTTTCCAAAGTTTTAAAAGCATTTACAGTAAGAAAAGAAGAGAATATTCCGCATTTATATAGTTTCTTCTGGCTTTGTCCCAAAGTCAGTATAACAGATTGGAACCTAATATCACTGAAATGATTCCAAACGAAACAAAAATGAATTGCTTGTAAGTAACAACATGTGGAGTGTCCTACCTAACGGTATTGTTAACATTATGTTGGTCATTAGACTTCAAGATTTACACAGATCACCCTACTATTACTGTATTTGAAAATGTAAACATTTCATGTGAAAAGATATGGGTATTCAAAAAATAATTAGAAAAAAATCTCCTCAATACGGTATGAAAAAAATATATTTTCTGAGAAATCCTACCAGTGTAAAATGATATAGAAATTCCTAAGACTCATTGATATTCTCATTAGTTGATTATATGAGCACTTCAAATATCCTTGTCAACGGAAGTGAATTTGATTAGCCGTACCGATACTGATTTTTTTAACTTCATCCATAAAAAATTTAAACATATATTGGAGGATCTAATAAATGTTCTAAAATACCTTATCTTTACGTCATGTGAAAATATGAACTGATGTGAAGGGAAAACCTCTTGTCCAAGAAGTGGTGTCCATCAAACGTTAATTCTCAAACTCCCAAATTAACTTTCAGAAAATTTGAAATTTCAAAATGTCCCCAAAATCCACAGCATCAAGAAGCATGATTTTTCAACACTTTATACAGCCATTCCTCACGAAGAATTAGAGACCAGGCTTTTTATATATTAGAGAAATGCTTCTTCCACATTAACAGAAATCAGAAATTTTTATATCTTTGAATGGACATCTAAAAGTTATTTCGATAAAAATCATGCTCATTTTACACACAGGTACTCTGAAGATGATATTTAAAATTATGTTGGAGTTCCTCCTTGGCAAATGTATAAAAATTTGGAGGTTAGGTCTTCCAACAATCTTTCGTAATTCAGCATGTTCAGATGGACACAAATTTTACTCCTTTCTTAACCAACCAGTTTGTATATCTCAAATAATAATGATGTGGTACGAAGTTGAATGAAATAAACTGAAACAAACATATTATGAATTATATTCTACTTTGAGCAAACAACACATCCCACGAGAACATTGTTCTCATATGGCGGGCAAGGGAGAGAACCACACACGGTTTTCACAGGGTAAAACAACCTTCCGTTGTCGTCGCGCCTGGATCCTTCTATGAAATCTGGATCATCGTCCAGACAAAGATATTCTGTACTTTCATATTCATGCCAACTTGCCGTCAAGAATCCAGAATACTGCTTTCGCCAGTATGTCGGACAAGAGTGTTTTCCCGGGATCATGATGGAAGAAGACGCCATTTTGACCCGACATACAGCACATGGAACATCTTCCTGTATGTGGACGCGATGTACGGAGAATTGGTACTCTGCTCCATACAGGTGCCCGAAGTCGTCACCGTCTATAACGGAAATACCATACGGTAGCTTTTCTGGATTGTGAGGAAGACAAAGTGTGTTCGCACCACCCCCCTTTTCTGAGTAGCTTTTTCCACCTGTAAATCCTGAAATGAATAAAGTAGCTTAAAGGAAAGTCTTAATCTTTATGACAGAACGTAAAGATGTCGTGAATATTAGTTCATTAATACACCAGAGATAGGATTGAAAAATGTTTTGGATTAAGAAATAGGTTTTTGAGTTGAGGTAAATGTTTTGAATTCAGATTAGGAGAAAAATTAGGTTTCGGATTTAGAAATAGGTTTCAGATTCAAAAAAGTAAAAGTATACGTAAAAGTCAGTTAGGGATAGGTTAGGGATTTAGAGATTTATTTATTTAGATGTAGGTTTAGAGATAGGATGTCGTATTTGCTCATTCAACTATGTTAAAGTTTGAAAATATTACTAGTATTTATAAAGATGATTTATAGGATCTTTCTAAGACCAGGTTCGTCTTAAGAATTTCAACTGAAGTTTTTTTTAATTTAAATATTATCTTTAATATTCAATTTAATTATATATTTATATTTTCTGATTGTGAGAGCCAGAAGGTAATATGCTAGGACAAAAAGTACATATGAGGCCACCTTTAAAAAATGTTTGCTTACCCTTCCCGACTCAGGATAAAAATATTAGACAGGTAGGTAGGGGAATTTTTCTTTTTTACTCAAAAAACACTTGCAAATAGAAGTTAAAATAGTTAGTGATGAGATGAGAAAACTTCGGAATGAATAAAAAATATGATCGTTTCCTGGAGGTTAAAACAGTTTTGAGTCCAGCCATTTTTAGTCGGTCGGGAGAGTGCAAACAAACAATTTTTTTTAAAGATGTCCTGATGTGTTTTATTTGATGTTTCAGATTCAGATAAAGCTGCTGGCATAATCTTCTATCATATAGACTGAAATGCAGAAATTTGAATGTTAAGATATGCATTACAATTTCCTCTGTAATATAGAGTAAGTTGATATTACCATTGTAAACCATTTCTGTACCATTCACATTCGGGCACGCATTCTTTCCCCAAATAGTAAATGTTGGACCTGAAGTTTATGGAAAAAGCACAAAAATGAACTAATACTGTACAGTTGATGCCCACCAGATGCATTTGAAGCCCGGTAGACAATTGTTTTCAATAACACGAAAGCAAACCGTTGTTCTAACACGGAATGAACCCTCAAACAATTATATATGTACTATTGTTTGAAAACATTTAAAGGACTTATATTATTTGAAATCAAAAGCGTAGAACGTTCCTTATAACCACAGTTTATAAATTTTGTGTTTTTGCGGTAATTAACCAATTATTGACTCAAATGAAAATCCTTGAATTAAAAATCTAAGTTAATTAGATAGCGATCACGTGACCCTGTGACGTCAAAGGCGACAATGGCTGATCAGCTCTATAGTTAATCTTACTAAAATATCCGCGATACAACATGAATATTCTGCATTGTGGACGACCATTTCACTGATTTTATCGATATGAAATTGAATAACCTTATATTTTAAAATTGTCATCAAGAAAAAATCTGTTAACATTGTAAAAAATAGCAGCGACGATATCAAAGGAGACGCGGCGAAGACGAAGAAAATCACCATCACAATACAATTTGATTTGTCATCTTATCACATGTATTAACTTCATTGATTTACAAATTTAATATTATATAACTGTTATTCTTCGTTTTTAGCATAACATTAATTTACGTATGTTTTGTAAAGGATGGCAGTCTTGAAAAATAATTTTCCGATCACGAAACATTGCCGTAATCGGAGCTGTACAGATTCTGAATGTTTCGAATAAAAAAACGAAAATATCTCAAAAGCCTTATACCTTAGAACTAGTTAATGTTTCTATAGTAATTAAAAAGCACGCTAGGAATTAATTTTTTCAACATTTTTCGTAATTAAGCTGCATTTGTCGTCGATAACTCTGTAAATAGTTTACATATTCTCATCTCTCTATCACTGAATTGTCGCCTATGACGTCAGAGCAGTATTTCGCCGAAATCCGACTGAAATATGCATATTCCCGTATTTGAATTTCAACTTTCAATATCTCTTAAAATATGCTTTCAATAACGTTTATTGTATTCAGTATTTTAACAAACAAGGTTGTAGATAATATTTTTCATAAAATCACGATTTTTGAAAGATCATGCGATAAGTCCTTTAAGATGACTGAAAATGATTCAAGAAATTTTACCACGATCATTTGATAGTTGTGAGAGAGCGGAGATCTGTCCCCTCAAAGACGTTATTTCTTGATTCTGACTTGCCAGCTGGGATTTCAAGGAGTTTACTTCCTGATGTGTATTGTCTTTTAAGGTGTTCACGTCTTGCAACAGTTGTTCGATTTGGGATTGTAGAAGGTGCGGGTCATTTAGGAGTAGTCGTTCTTGTCTTTCCGACCCACCACAAAAATGCAACATTGAAGTGTAAAGAATAAGCTCGATCATTGGTAATTTGCTACAAGACAACATGACTGACTGGTAGATAAGAAGTGAACTGTAAATGTTCCCTTTTTATCTACAAGAGAGAAATTGTTAGAACTTTTCTTATCGTTGACCTACCGTTTATACCTTCTAATATGTGGTGATGATTTTGTTCATACAATCATATAAAGGATTATATTTCTGTGTATGAGGTATTATTGTGAGCTAATATGATACCCCCCCCCCCCCATGATTTGCAATAGGGCTCGTTTATTGTAATACATGCATCTCAAATTAACTTTGTTTTGTAATTATGATTAATTTTATGAGCTAACACAAAAGAAAATTAAGGTTATATAAATAATTTTATATTTTATATATACAATATTTAAATACTGTATCATTGCCAATCCGTTTGAGATCATTCTATAAACACAGGAAAACTGAAAAAAATATTGAACATAACGCTCTCCTTTTATTGTCTTTTTTCTTTTCTTTTTCTATATTAAACAACGTTCCTCGGTTTCAGACCTTTATCAGACTCATTATTTGCCCCCTTTTAAGATTTTAATATATATATACATCTGCCTCTCCGAAAGAGATGTCATATTACCTTTCTATTCTATTAATTTGCTTCCATGAGATTTTGTTGGCTTTACTCAGCTGTATTGGATATGTAAGCGTTTAATTTTCAGTTGTAAATATAGTTAATTTGATTAATGCCCCTTTGTTGGAATTATGGCTCTCGTTGGAGTTTGAGTAATGACCCTTGTGGGAATAATGGTTCTGTTGGAGTTATGACTCTTGATTAGAGCTATGGATCTTTGTTGGAGTGTTGGAGCTATGAATCTTTGTTGGAGTTTTGACCTTTTGCTGAAGTTATGGTTCTTTGTTGGAGTTATTAGCTCACCTGAGTCGAAAGCTCAAGTGAGCTTTTCTGATCAAAGAGTGTCCGGCGTCTGTCTGTCGTCTGTAAACTTCACATTTCCTACTTCTTCTCAAGGACCACTTGACCAATTTCAACCAAACTTAAAACACAGCATCATTGGGTAAAGGGGATTCAAGTCTGTTCACAGGAAGTGCTGTGTCTCCTTTTGAGGTGAGATAATTCAGAATTCGTGAAAATTTGGTGGCATCTTTAAAAAATCTTCTTCTCAAGAACCACTCGGCACGAGAAGATGAAACTTAAGCTTCATTACATACTCTAGATTCAAGTTCTTCAGATCATAACCCCCGGGGGTAGGGCGGGGCCACAAGAGGGGGTCAAAGTTTTACATAGGAATATATAGGATATATCTTTAAAAATCTTCTCGAGAACAGCAAAGTCATGATTAATCACATTATAAAAAAGTATCCTGAGGTAGTGTAGATTCAAGTGTGTTCCAATCATGACCCCTAGGGGTAGGACAGGACCACAGCAGGAGGGTCAATGTTTCCATGGTAATATATAGGCTTTATCTTTAAACCCATCCCTAATAGCAAAAGATTCAATGAAATTGAATACATAACAGATGTGTAGGTCTTGAATACTAAGTATATTTAGACATCATTCCCATTTATTACTATTAGCATGTAAGGCGGGTGGGATGTGTCCTAATTTATGACCTTGAATTTAGTGAGGTAAGTGTTATCTCCCTCTGTTTTAAAAAAAAAATATCAATTTAAAAAAAAACTAAGTGGAAAACAAAAACAAATTGTTTTCAATTGTCATTCTATTTCTATTGTGTTTTAATGTATCTTTCCATCATAGTATTTATTGATATTACATGTATTATTATTATTTGAATTTTTATTTTAAAAAATTGCTTATCCCCATAGATTTCAATGTTGATTAATTACTGTTTAGTTAATTATATTTTTGAAACCTTCTCTTGGTAAAATCATTTTCTACTGAAAATGCTTTAAACTAATTCTAATTGTAACGGAGACTGTTACAGAGGTTCCCCAAACACCCTCCACCCCTACTCCCTATGGGGCCCCATTCCTTATGAATGCTTCAATAAATTAAGCAAAACTTTGTAGTATAGACTTTAACAACTAATTTTCAATCATTGAATAATAATATAGGAACTTGTATTATTTATAATATCTGAATTTCATCCTCTTTCTTTAACAATTAAGAACGTTATAAATGCATATCGTTGCATTCAATATTGTTAGTAGCATAATGTAGTAATTTATTATACCTATCAATATTCTAAATTTCATTTTGTTTTGTTGAAAAACTAAAGAAGATATAGCTATTGTCAGTTTCAGCTAATCAAATAGCAGAACATGTGCATGCTCGCGTTTTCAAGAATTTCTGTATATCGCATATTGTAGATCCTTAAAATATAAACTTGCATCTTAATTTTCAAAGGATTTTGTCAAAAAACAAGGAAGATATTAAGATTTTTGTTTCAGCCAATCAGCCAATCAGAGCAAAGTACAAGTACATGCGCATGAGTTCGTGCTAATTTGACCATGTCATCTTGTCCACACTACTAATGTATCTTTGTGTTTTGAGTTTCAGAGCATGTTATCAAAAATATATATATGTTATTGCTATATTAAGTATATCAGTCATTTCACTCTGCTCGCGCGTGCACGTGCATGAATGTGCCCGCAAAATGACCTTCGTTCCGCACATCTACAAAACATGACTGTTAACCCTAAAAAGGTTTCATCTCAATCGGATGAGTAGTTTCCAAGAACACTCATGGACAAAAAAGTACCAGGGAAGAAATTTTGAAAAAAGAAAGTAAAAACAATATGTTCCCAAACTTCGTTTGGGGAACTCATATATAATATCAGAATATTATGTATGTGATGGACATTTAAGGATAGAGGATGGAAAACCTTAAGGGTAAGAGCAAAATAAAAGTATAAAAGTTATGAACACCAGTGGCAAGTATTAAGTATTGATGTTAAGTTCTGGGTAAAGTAGATCTGAAGAAGATAGAGGTACCAGTTTCTTATCTGTCAATGGGAACCTAGGGGATGAACACGTTGCAAGTAGTACCTTACCCAGTCCCCATCTTTAGATTAGAGAAAATTTGAGTCCTGTGTGATATACCCCCAGAAAGAGCTGTCTTAATAATTATTCCAGTCTTTAAGTCTGACAAAGTAAAAGGAAAACCTATAAATCCCTTATAAGAACCTGATCATACACGTTACATAGGAAATACCTTTGAACTATTCTTTTCAAGAACAACTAAGCCATTATTTTTATACAGAAGCAACCTTAGGTATTGTAGAATCAAGTTTGTTCAAATTATGACTCCCCAGGGGTTGGGGGCACATTAGAGTGTCAAAGTATTGCATAAGAATATACAGGAACCATCTTTGAAAAAATCTTCTGCTCAAGAACAGCAAAGTCATGATTAGTTATAGTATTACAGAACCAGCCTCGTTCGATACTGAACTAATATCTGCTTCTTCCTAGCTAATGTGCTCAGGTGAGCAATGTGGCAAATGGGCCTCTTGTTTTTTTTTTGGAGTTATTTGTATTTGTTGGAGTCATGTTCCTTTGTTGGAGTGAAGTATCATTGTTGATGTTATGTATCTGTGTTGGAGTTTTGGTTCATTGATGGAGTTATGATTGTTGCAATTATGACTCTTTGTTGGAGTTACGCATGTTGGAAAAAGACCCTTCGTTGGAATTGAGGTTTTTTGTAGGAGTTATTGTTCTTTTTTGTACTCTTTGGTTGACTTATGACTATATGTTGGAGTTAGGGCCCTTTGTTGGAGTTATGGTCCTTTGTTGGAGTTATTGATCTTAATTTCTGTCATGGCTCTTTTTTGTGTTATGACTCTTTTTAATTCCTAATCAATATTCAGCAGCATTAATTATTCTTACATGGACTTATCTTTAGAGTATTTGTCTTTCAGTGAACCTAAATCTTTTTTGCAAGCCTTTTTGTACCTATTTGACGGAAATATAAATAATTTTAAACCAATTATTCCAATCTTGAAAAGCGGCTAAAATAGAAGTTTTCAGATGTAGATTAGAGTTCGACTTTTTTCCCACTTAAAGGACAATTAGTATTGAGAAAGGGTTGTATGATGAAATATAGATAACAAACAGTATTCAAGCATGTATGGAATTTTATATATATATATATATATATATATATATATATATATATATATATATATATATATATATATATATATATATATATATATATATATATATATATATATATATATATATATATATATAATCAATACCGCCTATTGTGCCAAAACACTGTGAATTCTGAGAATTTTCAGATAAGAATCAAATGAAGCAAAATATCTTTCTACCCTTTTAACGTTAAAGGGCTTAAGAAGATTTTTCCATTGTTTGGTTTGTGAAAAACAGTTTATTTATTTTCTGGTGACTTCTTAATGAATTTAGACAACATTCTTATGTAACTCCACGATACAGACTCCTTCATTCATAATCAACAAACGCCTTATTGATAACAGAGTTTTAATTATCCGTTTGAAATTGAGTATGAAGTTTGGAATCTTAGGTGTTTCATTTACTTTGGCGTGCAAACTTCAACACACAGTTATTTCTGGAAAATATCTTTCCTCAGTCACGTGATTCGATGGAAGAGGTTATTGTACTTAACTCTGAGTTGAATTGATTCATTCTTATTCAATAATCAGTGTTTGAAATACGAAAGCTCTACTGGTGAGACGCTAAGTTATCACCAAACAAATAAATTACATTGCTATTAAATATTTAAAATCAAACGTATTTTGTTTATGAAATTAATTCAAGAACACGTTTTTGAGTCAAAATCTACCTGATACTCAAATAGAATTTTGCCAACTACAAAAATTATTCATGAGACAGTTTCATTTTCCTCATAAAAAGATGAGTATCATGATAGTAAGCTGGTTAAGGTGAAGCATGTGTTTAGAGGTTTATCTCTGTTTTGGTTGGAACATTTCTAGATTTTTTAAAAGAAAAAAAAAAATCACAAAAATGGTTATATTTGATCTTACTTTTGGAAACAGGTGCCCGATTATAGCCATTATATTAGACAAAAATAATTCCTCATACATCTTCAAAACATTTCTAAAACTTCTTTGCTTTTGATCACTTTAAGAGCATATTATGTCATGAAGGGTATTCAAGTCCTCTCTATATCAGTGAAAAATTCTCGACTGGGACATTAAACAACATACAATCAATCAATCAATCATAAAACAATATTTAATCAATTATATACCGTTCACGGTAGCTCAGTCGGTAGAGCGCTCGCTCCGTGATCGGGAGGTCGTGAGTTCGAATCTCGGCCGCGACTGACCTAAGTCGATAAAAAACGGGTAGCAACTGTTCCTTCGCCATGCGCTCAGCACTTTGAAGTGAAAGTTTCGGGTCCTTCGGATAGGACCTTAAAAACCGAAGCCCCGTGTCACGGCAGGTGTTGGCACGATAAAGGTACCTCACTGCTCAATGGCCCCAAGTGCCGAGTAAAGGTCAAAATTTGAAGCCTTTCACCGGTATATGGTGACGTCTCTATATGAGTGAAACATTCTCGAATGGGACGTAAAACAACACACAATCAATCAACCAACCAACCAACCAATCAATCAATTATAAACCAATCAATTATAAAACAATCAATCAATCATTAAGTAACATACAATCAATCAACCATATAACAAGAATCAATCACTCAATCAATCAATCAATCAATCATTAAAAAAACATACAATCAATCAAGTCCTGCATTGTGATCTTTATGATTCTATAATTAGTCTACCATACTTGTTTGTAAAAACAAATAGAAAGCAATAAATAAATAAATAAATATTTTTTTTACAATCCATTGACAACAGATATTTGTAGAATTATTCCGCACGGCAATTTAAGTACAAGCTTCCTTAGTGATAATGAAACTACCAAATTTTCATAAGTTGCGCGGAATATAATAAAAAAAAGTTCATTCATGAAACATGGTTACACCCTGACCTTTGGAAAATATCACAGCAAATTAGCATAATCGGTTCTCTGCAATCTGCATGCAATGTAAACATTTGTTTAATGTCTATGAACGCAGTATACTTAACGGGCGTTTTGATGAAATATGCATGCAAGATTTCGTTGTTAAAGTTTCAAATATCTTTTCATACAGACGAGAAATGCGGTCATTATAATACAAAGGAATCTGGTAGTTTTGTATTAACTATTCTTAATTGAATAAACGTTATCGATGTATCTGAATGTCGAGTCGAAGGCCACAGCAACATGGAAAAAAAAATGAAAGCTATAAATTCAAAGTATTTTTTATTGTAAAAAGTAATATAAAAAGAAAAATGAATATAATTATATTATATGTCCAAACAATGCAGAAATAAATAAATATATAAACAAATATATGAAAATAAATAAATAAATAAATAAATGGAAAATCATAAAATAGTAACACATATGTTAATCATCTTTAAAGTCAACACACATCTTGTATATTGGACTAAATATTCTTGGTTTTTCGTCGGAAGTGTTTGGACATCGACTTTGGAAAACCACCCTTTCGTCCTTGCACACGACAAAATCTGGGGACCCTTCTCGACCTCTCCATGGATTTAACCCATCTGGTGACCCTTTACAGCTGGGAAAACGCATGTGACATGGTATACAGTGAGCTGATTTGCACTGATTTTCTTCATATTCACCTGAAATAGAAATATGCTTAAGTTTACAAATTGACTGCCATAATAGCTTTGATTCAAATTCACTGCAATTATACATCACATACTGGTATCCAAAACAAGAATTACAACATTCAGTCAGATGCAGTATGGCATATTGATTTAGTCACTTTAGAGGGCCTAGAGACAGGGGGTTGGGTCAACACCTATCAAGAGGTTTATTAAAATGTTACTTACATGCATCCTTGGGTTCATATCGAGTTCCACACTGAACTGTGCTGTAGTGATGGCATCTCTGAGAATTCTCATCGAACAGAAGTGGATAAGGACATTCCTTGACTTCTGCCTCTCCTACAGATGACACTTTTGTTTCACAATCGTAATATTTGGCACAGCTATCAACATTTACAAATTTCTCGTGAGATTGCAACGAACACATTCCTTGCGTTTGTTGGAGTATTTTTGCACCTAAAAAAGACCAATGAATATACAAATTTACTATTTAACTATCTATCGTCCGCGTGTCACAGTGGTTAGGACGTTTGCTATTTAGTGGCGGAGTAAGGAGTTAATCCTTACGTCGCGTGTTCGAATGCACTGTGTGACGTCGAGACCGGCCGTCGGATGAGACCGTATAAACAGAGGTCCCTTGTCGCAGTAGGTGCTGGCACGAAAAAACGATCCCTCACTGCTCAAAGGCCGTAAGTGCCGAGCACAGGTCTAAATTTACAGCCCTCCACCGGAAAGTGGTGGTGTCTCAATATGAGTGAAAATTCTCTGGGGGACGTTCAACAGCAAACAAACAATTTTACTATTTTAATTTGAACTGCACTTACTCTGTCCTAATAAAATGCTTTTAAATAATCTAATAAATAACCTTTATCTAATTACAAAAATCAGAAACATCTTTCTTACATTTGTCTTGAGTTGATCCTTTGGGCACACATAATCTGGTGGCTGAGTTAATTACGTAATCTTCTGGACACTTGAACAGAAACTCCTTGCCATCTCTTACGATATAAAATTTGGAACAGTCTTCTGGATCCACCCAGAAATCTGAGTCCTTTTTCTGTAGGGCTGCTGAGTCCGTAAAACAACAGAGTGTGGCAAAAATGACAGAAATTAGTATGGTATTCATGACCTATGCAGCACAAGAAAAAAAAACAGAGTTATATTTCGATATTGAAGAATTTCGAATGTGATTATCCATCTGGGTAGTAGTGACTATATTTATAAGCTAACACATCCCACGTTAATGACCGGTATGTGAGGCATGTGATTAGCAAGTAAATGATCATTGTTTATCGAGTGAGTAGGTGACACTTTTAGAACCAATGAAAGACATGAGTAAGTGTTCACTAATTAAGAGGATCTTGAAATTCCGATTCTGTAAGTTTTATATCTTGTATACCAGTGTAGGAATTTAAGGTGTTTTCTTTTTATCTGCACGATTTTGGCATGCTGAAAAAGTTCCATATATTGACTCCTAGTTCGGTCCAGGAGTGTTAAAATATAAGAATCAAAATGAATGTCTTTACTGAATATTTATTTAAGCATCTACCAGCTAAAATTATCATAATAAATAAAAACAAAAACCAAAAATATATAATTATATCTTTCTGGCAAATCTATAAATCTGGAAGGGTAGTATATCTGATGTATGTCTATGTCATTGAGGTTAATATTTCAACAAAAAAAAATTGAGATTTGAGGATGTGATTTTTTTTAAAGGTATATGTAATATTTTTTTTCAACAACTGTCAAAGAGGTAGAAATGTTACGTCCAAAACCATGTGAAAAAGTTTAAATTCAGTCTAACAAATAATTTCATCTATATATACATGAAACCAGGGCAATGATACGAATCTTTCATGTGACTTTGTTCTAGCATTTCTAAAGCAAAAACAGGGAAAAAGGCACAAAAAATTGGTTCCAATGCTTCTGGTTTATCAGTAATAAATATTTTTGAAAACCTCTTTCCAGATATACTTTTAAAACTCAATTCATTGTTTTTATTCAAATTATTAAAAAGACTACGGAAGTTGATATGCTACCTCATGCGAGTTAACGAAGTGTTTGTGAGAAAAAGCTATAAATTACAACACTGGCGGACAGTTAATTAGATGTTGTATATCACAGAATAAAATGTGATTCATATTATTGTATAATTTTATATGTGGCAAAAGTTCAATCTTTATCTAACAAATCACAATGAGTCAATAATTCTTATCATTATTAAACCTTATAAAGTGTACATGTTAATGAGTTGTAGGAGGAATATATCACAATATATCAAAGGTTCCTTAAATTTTAAATTTTTACCTGATCCGTTTGTTTTACGATCTGTACTTATGACTTTATCGATCATGATTTAGAGTCTTTATCTTCCACTTAATGCAATTCAAGGCAACGCTGGTCGTATTTGACAATGTCATCTAAAAATACACATAGTTATCTACATGATGATTATTTAAGATGATTTAAATAACTGAAACATATTTTATATGGTTTGTTAAATCCCAAAATTAAAGAAATGAACGTAAAGTTTCTGTGCTTGTCTCTGGAATTTAAATAATTATCATAACAAAAATACAATATTTTGGACAAAGATTGAGGACATTTTGTTGAAGAAAAGTTAATTGAAAAAAGCAACGCATTTTAATTAAATTAATTTTCAATACAATTTATCATGTTTTTTAAAATATTTATCAGCTCTGAAGATGACATTTTTCATTTGAAAAAAGCCATTTAAAAACGTTGTATCGAATGATTCCTTTGTATTTTTGCCTTTTCTGACATTAATACAGACTGGTGTTACTACGTGCATGTTACAAAAAGAAATTTTGTTAATTTGTTTGATACATCAAGATTCCTTCGACAGGATCTAATAATTAAACTGTTTAAAGTATGTTAAACAATATAGAAGTCTCTGGACATATTTATTGATGATTTTACAGCTAAACAGCAATTTATTCCTTTATCCTAATCATTGAATCGTGTCTTTTACTACATTAAAATCGATTTGAAAAGTTTTTCAGAGAACACTGGGCCCATATTACTCAGATTTTTTTTTTAATTTTTAAGTGATTCTAAATAGAAATTTCCAAGCAGCCCTCCGCCTGCATCGACCTTAGTATATTTTTATGTTTGCATCATTTAAATTATTAAAGAAATATAAAAATAGGATGTAAATTGCCATCGAAAGAATGAATGAAATGTATAGAGATAACGAAGAGTATTCAAGCTCAAAAGTCCATTAAACAATACAAATTTTGGAGCAGAGCAAACAAACATCAGAGGTGGAATCAGGTGCTGTGGAGGAGTGAGCCCCTTGTCATGATCGGGTAATAACGGAAAAATCCGTCGACAATTCAGTGTGTAAATTATGGCCAAACATTTAGTATGAAAAAGTCAGTCAGCATTTGACTCAATGATAAATTGTATTTGCTGACAAGGTCATTGTATCGACTATAGAACTTACGAAATGACGACTTTAAACGAGACTGCTGATATTTTTGTTTCATCAACTTGTTTGTCAAAAACTTACCTCGTTTCAGAAATTGTTCACACGTAGAGCATGCTCTTGCATATCGAATCAACTGAGAGATATAAACCCCATATGCAGGTGATGAAGGTATATTGCTGCATAAGTAAGGGAAGTTGACGATTGAAAAGTTAAAGTCATCGCATTTATTATAAAGCTTGGTTGTTAGATTACCATTTACGTCTTTTTCTAGTAAATTTATCCAAATATGAAACAGATGTGTCAGACTCTATGGTATCTTTTATTTCAAGTTCACTGGGATGAATCGTATCGACAAAAGAATGGAAATTGCCATTGTTAATTGACAGTACGTCGCGATATATCTAAATGTCGAATTGAAGGACACAGTAAGCGTTTTCTCCTTTTCACATAGAAGATTTTGAACAAATTCTGCTTCATATGAATACAAAAATAGGTCTGCTAATAACGGGGCGCAATTGGTACCCAGGGGAATTCCAATAGATTATTGGAAGACCTGGTCTCCAAAAACCACATAGATATTGTCAATCAGAAACTCAAGCATGTTTTAATATCAACTTCAGAGTACCTGTGTGTACAATCAGAATAATTTAGCGAAATAATTTTGCAAATGACCAATGAAAAGGCAAATAAATTTACGAGTTTCACTTTTATTGAAAAGGCAGGTGTCAATGAAATCAAAAAGCCTGGACGTTTAATTTATCGTGGTGAATGGTTGTATATAAAGTTGAAATTCGAAAGTTTTTATGTTGTTGATTTTGTTAAAATTGTGTGATTTCAAATTTTCCAAAAGTTCCGTGATTTCAAATATTTTTTCTATCAATATAATGATTCAATTTCCTTTCAAATTTTTTTTCAGCCATATTTACAATATGTTTGATAAGGTCGATATGACATATTATAAAAGTCGGTTTGGAAAATAAGTTGATAAAAAAATGAAATTTATTCAAACAGGGAATTGTTGCATCATTTGAAGGCAATGCTTAACCCCCGAAATTTTGAACACTCAAAATAAACCGATTTACTTATGTCAAGGCCATTGATAGAATAACAGAATGATTTTCACTATTGGTACCTAACAGATAAAACTTGTTCGATTGTTTTTTTCTTTGAAAAGTTTCATTCGCATCTCGTGGCTGGTCCATTGATGAATTAACTGATTAACAGTGATTTGGGTCTTCTTGGCGTTTGGCGGGAAAATGTTGCGTTTTGAGAAAAAAAAAAAATAGAATCTGACTCCCTGTTTCAAAATTTATTAAAACCTGAAAGTCTGTATCAGAGGAAGCACTGTGACAGCATAAATAAATAAATGAATAAATAAATAAATAAGTGAATAAATAAATGAATAATAAATAAATTAAATAATAATAAAAAAAAAATTGCAAGAATAATTGGTTACATTACACCTCGCGATTATTAAGAAAAATCCTTGTTCATCTCAATTAACTTTCTCTATCAGTCATTTTATATTGTTTTTAAAATTCAAAATTAATTTTAATTAAAAAAAAAATATATTAATTTAAAATTAGCTTATTATTATCATATCAAAATCCAATCTACATTGATAATAGTATTTATTTTGCAGAAATTGCAAATTGGTAAAATATTTCTTTCTTTTCTTTTTTTTTTTTTTTTTTTTAAAGTATGAATGGCATTGTTAAGTTCTACATTTTAAAAAGTGAAGTTAGATATGAGTTTGAACTTTTAGAATTTATCTATATACCAAGATGGAACCTTAAAAGGTGGCACAAGCACAAAGCAAATTCGCCTATTTTTTTTCATTTTTAATCATGTAAATGGCTTCCATGCTAATTGAAAGCATCTCCTACTCTCCTGAATAAAATAACAGATGAAGTGTCATGATGTATTGAACCCTCACGTCGTAAATAGAATAAGTTGAAAAACTTAATAAATAAGAGGGCTGTTCAAAAATTTCGCAAACTAATTGAAAAACTTTTATAAAAGAAATAAAATTAGGTTTCAGTGTTTATTATCGGCCGCAGAAGCGGCTGATTTATTTGTGGTTGTGAAAGAAAGAGCACATGGGGGAAATGAGGCGTTGTTTTTTTCACTGCTTCGTTGGAATAATCCCTTATTGACAATACATAAAAGTTATGAATAAAAGTTTTAAAGATTTCCTTAATGTTAAGTCTAAATGGTTGTTATTGTGTTTCAATTTGTTTTTCATTTCTCGTCAGATATTTATTAATGTAATGATTTTACAAAGTTGTTTCATGAACTGCCCCCCCCCCCCCCCAAAGGCGTGCGTAAGATATAAAAACAAAATTCATTGAATTTCCGGATATGAATTACGGTGCCTAAAATTATTAATAAATTGGAATAAGAACTGAATTTTGTTTTGAATACACTGCAGTTGCAAGTGACACAATGCACTTCACATACATATCTATCACAACACTCCTTCGGACGAGACCTTAAAAACCGAGGCGCCGTGTCACGGCAGGCGTTGGTACGATAAAGGTACCTCACTGCTCAATGGCCCTGAGTGCCGAGTAAAGGTCAAAATTTGAAGCCCTTCACCGATATATGGTGACGTCTCTATATGAGTGAAAAATTCTCGAATGGGGCGTAAAACAACATACAATCAATCAATC